GAATCAGCAGAAAAAGGAATTTTGTCTCTATCTCACTCTGATCAAAAGTTACAGGCAAAAATATGAGTAAAGTTGAGAAAGATGAAAAGTTGAAACATAGGGTTAAAGTAAAGTATGAGTTCAGTGAAAGTGGGTCAGAATTAGTGAAAAGGCCACAATATGGTATGATTCTTGATCAGGGACCATATCCAAAGATGTTTACCAAGTTTTGGTCAGATTGACCTTTTGACCTTTGTATAATAAGCCTTCGTATAATGTAGTCTTCGAATGAATAAGCCAAAATACCAGACAAACAGTACAATTTGTGACAGAAGATGTACTTAGAAAGTTGTTCAGGTGAGTGACCTGAGTCGTATGGCACCATTTGTTTATCTGTCGACCTTGTAATAACATTGTAATAGCATTTTAATTGATTTGTTAATTGTTTTTGAGTGCTAAAGCGCCCCCTAAAGGCCAATCTGGACCAAAATTGGCAAACACCATTAGAGTCCAAATATGTAAAGATCCTTAAAGGTTGGACATGATCTGACCAATGACTGTTGAGTTATAGCTAATCAAGCTAACAATGCCACGGTCACTGTAATTAATTGATTGATCCACACGACCCTGAGTAGAAAAGTCAATATGTTTTTGATAATTATTTACCTACAGATGCCAAAGAATTGTTCTACACCAAGTTCGAAAAGATTGGATCAAACTCCAGGGACTAGTTCGAAAAGTAGGCTTTTTAAACAGTTACCAATTACAAAAAAACTATGCAGTTTTGTAATAAATATGCATTGGCAAAATTGTTTGGAATAACATACTTAATATGATACACAAGGACTTTCAAGTAAACTTTTAATAAAAGAATAATAATATGTAATAATATGTTAATTTTTATGAATCGCGCCCCCCAGTGGCCAAATCTTTTGAAACTTGGTTGGTTGTTAGAAAGTGGCTAAATGTAGAGATCATTTAAGTTTCATGATGATTGGTCAATGTTAAGCCTGTCAAAAGCCTGCTAAATGCTGATTGGCCGATGGCAACCATATACTTCAATGAATCAAATTGTCCTTAAGGATTCACTTATAGTCTGACCAACAGATGGTATTTGCAAAGTTTCAGCTAGATCGGATGTACGGATGCTGAGAAACAGCCATGTAGCATTAACTCCGCCCCCTAATTACATATGCGCACAAAAATCGAATGGCTACCTCAGAATAGGCTAATAACATGGCCTGTCAAGTTTGAAATTTTTTGGCTGAAGGATTCTTGAGTTACAGATTTTTCAATTAATTCTGAATTATTTTGAAGTTATCCAGAAGGGTTCATTTGCATATGGCAGCCATGTTGTTTAGAAAAGTCTAAATGTTTTTGATAATTATTGACCTTCAGGCTCTTCTGAATTTTTTGACACCAACTACATGGGGATCGGGCAAAAATTGTAGGACGAGTTCGCAAAAGTAGGTTTCGCATATTATGCAAATTAGCTCAAAATCTAAGTGGGCGGAGCTAAATGGTCCCAATGGCAAAGTTGTTTGTTTGGACCCAAGGAACCAGGAAAAAAATATGGCTTGTCTAGGAAAAATCTTTTTTTAGGAGTTATAGGCCAAAACGCGTTGACCTGCGCAATAGCGCCCCCTTGTGGCCGACTGGGCTGATTCCTTGCGCCTGAGTAGCGGGAGGGACTACTACCTATTGACCAAGTTTGGTGTCTTTAGGACTTACGGTTTGGGCTGTGCGTTCCGTTTTAGGGAAGAAAAATAATAATAAGAAAAACCCTGACAATTCCAATAGGGTTCAATGCATTGCATGCTTGAACCCTAAATATAGCCGCAAGCGGCAATGAGCGGGTCCAAGCACGCATAAGCCCAAGAAGCTCTTATGCACTTTGAGCCTAATAGGCCTAATAAGGCCTAACGCACGTTGGGCCTTCGAGGCAGAGAGGCCGAAAAGAAATCAGAGTTTATCAACAGGCCTTCATTTGTCATGAACTAGGAGCAGGGTGCTTTAAACCTAATATATGTTTATATTTCAATTTACTGATCTACAAAGGTTTGAAAGAATACATGAGTAACGGTAACATTTCTGACTTTGTTGTGTTTGCAAAGTATTTAGTTTCTCCATGTTAAAGGCTTTGATAAGCAGGATACAAACAGACCCAATGGACCCATAAGGGCCCTTTAAGCATAAAGGACCTCAGTGAAAGTGGGTCAAAACTGGTCCAAAGGTCTTCAAATGTTATGAAAATCGATCATGGACCTTTGTCAAAAGATGTTCACCGAGTTTTGTTCAGATTGACCTTTTGACCTTGGTATAATAAGCTATAGTCTTTAAATGAATAATTCAAAATACCAGAGAAGGAGTACAATTTATGACATAACATGTAATTACAAAGTTATTCAGAACAGTGAACTGAATCAAAAGACACCTGTCATTTATCTGTAGACTTTGTAGTATTGTTGTAATAAAATTTTTAAAGATTTTAGGTGTTTTTGAGTGCTAAAGCACCCCCTATTGGCCAATCAGGATCAAATTTTGCAAGCCACATGAGAGTCTCAATTCATAAACATATTTACAATTTTCAGAAGATTGGACCAATGACTGATGAGTTATAGCAATTTAAGCTAGCAATGCTATGGCCGCAATGATTTAGTGATGGAGGGAGACCACAATGAGCAAAAAATGGAAAATGTGCTGGATAATTATTTACCTAGAGAGGCTACAGAGTATTTCTAGACCAGATTTGAGAAGGTAGCTTCAAATGCCACTGACTAGTTCGAAAAGTGCCAATTTCAAACAGTTAACGATTGAAAAAAAACTAAGCACTTTTTAAATAGACTTCTAATGACAAAATGGTTTGGAACACTGCACTGCATGAGGGCATCTAAGCTATTTGACCAAAAATGACAATCTATACAAGATATACTTGATTTTCAGTAATAGCGCCCCCCAGAGGCCAAATATTTTTAAACTTTACAGGTTGTTAGAGGATGGTGAGATAGAGATAGATATCAAGTATCATAAGGATTGGCCAACGGTAAGCCTGTCAAATGGCTGCTGAAAGCTTATTGGCCAATTTATGGCCGATGGCGGCCATAAATTTAAATATTTCGAAGTGTCCTGAAAGATTCACTTATAGTCTTTGTAATAGATGGTACATGCAAAGTTTCAACTTGATCGGAGGTACGGATGCTGAGAAACAGCTACATAGCATTTACAGCGCCCCCTAATGACCTATGCACACAAAAATTGATAGGTGTCCTCAGAGTCTCTTTAGGAATAAGCCTGTCAAGTTTAAAATTTTTTAGGTGAAGGATTCTTGAGTTACAGATTTTTCAATTAAATAAGAATTATTTTGATTTTTCCAGAAGGATTAATTTGCATATGGCAGCCATTTTGAGTAAAAAATTAAAAATGTGCTGGATAATTATTGATGTTCAGGCTCTTCTGAATTTTTTGACACCAAAAACATGAGGATAGGATGAAAACTGTAGGACTAGTTTGCAAAAGTAGGTTTCACATATTATGCAAATTAGCTCAAAATCTAAGTAGGCAGAGCTTAATGGTCCAAATTACAAAGTTGTTTTGTTGGACCCAAGGAATCATGAAAAAAATATGTCATGTCTGGCAAAAATCTGGGGAAGGAATTATGGAGCCAAACGCGTGGTGTTGCGCAATAGCGCCACCTTTAGGGAGATTGGGCTCATTTCGCGAACCTGAGTAGCGGGAGGGACTACTACCTATTGACCAAGTTTCATGTCTCTAGGACTTACGGTTTGGTCTGGGTGATTCGTTTTATCGGAGAAAAAGAATAACAATAATAATAATAATAAGAAGAAGAAGCAGAAGAATAAGAAAAACTCTAACAAAAACAATAGGGTCCTACGCACTGCGTGCTTGGACCCTAATAAGAAAAATTCTCACAATTACAATAGGGTTCTACGCACTGCGTGCTTGAACCCTAAAAATCTTGACAATTCCAATAGGGTTCAATGCATTGCATGCTTGAACCCTAATAAGAAAAATCTTGACAATTTCAATAGGGTTCTACACACTGCGTGCTTGAACCCTAATAAGAAGAAGAAGAAGAAGAAGAAGAAGAAGAAAAATCCTAGCAAAAGCAATAGGGTTGCATGCACCTAAAGGTGCTTGGACCCCTAATTAACCAAATACTAACTTCCAACCAAGTCCTTCTGAAAGAAGCATAAGATAGCTTCATGCCTATTAACAGTTTCCCCCTTTTTTCCTTGTCTACTTCTAACACACCAACAATAATCAAAAGGTCAGGTATAACTGGTGAAAGAACCAACTACAACAGAGCAGTGACAGAATGGTACTCACTAGTAAAAGATCAAGCCATCCGTAAACCAAAAGGAACAATAAACAAGGCTGGCTTGTCAGTCCTATGAGGTCTTGGAATGAACACCAAAATGATGCTCTATAAACACTTAAGCCTCCTTTGCATCAGTGAACACTACTTCTGTCCACAACAGTAGAGCACCCTCAACATAGCTGATCTGCAAAGAACTCTCATTACAACGTAAAAATAATGGAGTCGTACAATAAGTGGGCAGATGGATCTGCATCGCCTTGCTGGCTGCACAGCGCCATGTCTACCAGAGGCTTTTCATCCAATGCTATCACTGCTCTCAGAAGCTAGGAGGTGAATTCACTTGCCCCTTGGCCTACCTCAGTGCCTTCCTTCAGCAGGGCTATTTGAATATTCTGTGTTCTAGTGAGCCCTTCAAGATCCATACACTTTTCTGTGGCATGGCCTACATCTGTCACTTTCTTGGCCTTCATTGTTTGCACGCTCAGGCTTGACTTCATCATGTCCATGGTGTGTACAAACAAACTCAAGATGTTCTCTGTCACTACTTAGACATCAGTGCACAGAAAGAAAGTCTAATTCTGGGTTAAACTTGCAGGAGCTATCCAAGAGTGCAGTCTACCAAGACACTGCTCAACAGCACTGTTACATCCTCCGCCCCCCCAACCCCAGTCAGGAAACTTACCTCAGTTTCAGAATGGGTATCTCCCTCCAATAATGACAATATTTCAGAACACTCGGCTGAGATTTTAATGTAGCCTTCAACTACATCATAAAGGTTGGCACATGGGAGTTTTTTGGCTGTCTTTATGAAGATTTCTAAACCTAGAAGACAAGAAGTAACAGTGTGATAACACCAATGAATGTGATACAAAACTTTTAAAAGAACAAGAAATAGCATCATAAAGTCCAACCAATCTTCTGTTGAGTAATGTTCTTTTTGAACTGTTTCACAATTCTCTCATGGCACAAAGTGGTCAACCATGACCCATCTTTGCTTGCAGAGACTGAGCCTTTGGTGGATGCTCCTTTTATACCCATGTTGGTGTAACTTGAATATTCTATCAACTTTTCAATCTTATTTTCCCTGTATCGCAACTTTTCTTGAGTGCGTTGAAGATATAAAATTCTGAATTTATTTATATTTTTACAGTACAGTCAAGTTGGTCAGCCAAAACATCAGAAGTCATTTTGTACTTCTGTCAAAAATTCGAGAGAATAAAACAATTCACAGATTTTTGTTTTACTGCATTATACAAAATGTCCCAACTTTCCCGGAAACGGGTTTTTAAACGGTTTAAATGGATAAAAAGTGGTTTACATTTAATAAGAAATGCTAAATACGAAAGTGCTTGGATTCCTAGACATTGTATGTCCACGAATGGATTTTTGTCCTGGACAAGTAACCCTAGTTGTATGTAACATTTCTAAGTATATATTCGGTAACGCTAAGTTACGTAGGTTAGGTCACTCGAGCGCAGTTCATCAGATAATCAGGCTCCCGTAACCTTTAGCTCACAGCTAACAGTACGATAATCCAATTGCTAACAATTTTAATGGACAGCTGAATACGCAATAATGAGTGTCATTTTTGTTTAAATTGTGTTACTCTGTCAACTACCAGAAATTCCAAAGCAAAATAACCATGAACGTGTTATTTAGTTAGGTTAGCGAATTCGCTCACACTATCCCTCCACTTACCTTTGAATGCACTGCTAGGATCCTTTAGCATGGATTTAAAGACCGTCCCATTAAACTCGCTTTCGGTTTTCTTTTTATTTGCTGGCATTAGGGAATCCAGTGGTTCTGCATTTTGACGCTTTTTTCCCATGTTTAAAATAAAGTTTACACACGTGGAGAAACACACGTGGCTGCTGGTAAATTCTCTGTAGCGGTGTGAACGCAGCTACAACAACAAAACGTCACCGTTCAACCACTGTGGAGCAAGCAACGGTACGTCAACGTCAAATATGGCCGTTAGAGAATCAGAGGGTATTTCAAAAAAAGAGCACCGTAATAGTCAGGGTACTGCCCCGGGAATCAACCTTTTTTTTAAATTCAATAATAAGTTCATTCACATTGCAAATATGACTTCTAGGGGAAAAACCCCAGATAAAGCTAAACAGTGACGACTGTTTTGGCGACTCTGGTTCCGGAAGTAAAAATCCTAATCCTATTCATGACATTATAACAAGTTAAATTGGAGTTAAAAAAAAACAAAACAAAAAAAAGGCAAAGGTACAAGACTGTGTACTTAACATGTTTAATGTCGGAATGAACTACATATCCCACAAAGCGTTGTGAACGGTTTCAACCAATCACGTTTACCCCTTTTTCCGCCAACCTTTGCAATCGTGTGTGTTCTCCTTGGTAGGTTATGTATCTTGGTTGTATAGTTTTATGTACATATAATGTTCGAATTTTATCTTTCTATTTTTAACAGTCTGTTCATTTTATCTTTGCTGTCGTGGTACAGTGAATCTTACGAATGAATCATTTTTACCTCTATAAGACATCTATTAATCGTGATATTGCTTACTTTATTATATTAATCGTGATATTTCTTATTTATTGATATCTTCTTATTTTACAAATTGAAGTTGTCCCAAGTGAAAAATATAATACTGAAAGGGAACCTGAAGGATGGAGAGAGTTGCTGCATTAATGTCCCTAGTGAAAAACCCATGGAAACCATTGCATTTCTGTTGGTTCCTGATGGTTTTGTAACGTGCTTAGCTTTTTAAAGGGTTGATATCACTATGTAAAGGATCCTAATGGTTTAACAGGTAACCAGTGGCTGATTGTAAATGCATCTGATGGTTTCCTAATGAGATCTAAAGGTCTTCTACAGGAAACTAGTGGTGTCTACTGGAAACCATTAAGCCAATTCCCACTAGAAAGCAAAACCATTACGTCTGAATCCTAATGGGTTCTAATGGTCCTTTTTTTTAGCAGGGCTGGTAAAAACAGCTAACCTGGGAAACTTTCCCCCACTATCCCATGACAGATTTATGAAATATTTTGCTGTTTGGCAAGTGTTTGTTATGTTCTGACCATAAAGAATAGTTTAAACCACAATTAATTGCCTGGTTTCTTCAGCTTTCTTCACATTATACATTTCTTCTATCTGAATCATCATCTTTTACAACACTAACATAGATGCCTGACCTTCCGTTGATGCCCAAGGCTCCAAGAGCGGGTTCAATCCCTTGGCATCTGGCAGAAGTTTCAGCTTCACCGCCTGGCTCGTGCCACTAGATAGTGGCACCTGCCACAATAAACGGCGCACACCATTCAAAACAGGCACACACCGACAGCTCCTGTGAGTAAAGCAGTGACTCTAGACAGTGGCTACTTGGCTAGGCTAACAGCAAATCATAGCACCACCAGCTGGTGTCACTTTAGGCTAAAACGGCTTGCCGTAAGCATTAGCCAAATGCCAACGGCACTTGCCATTTACTTATAACAGACAGCCAGGTCGGTAAAGTTAGGTTGATATTCGATATTCAGCGGATATTCGCGTTTCGCCCCTCCTATCGCTCACCAACAACCTCTTAAAAATTTTGAAATAACATTTTCTAAATCGTGGTAAAACAGACAACAAACTACAATTATTATATTTCGTCAAAGTACTCGATCTTTTCATTTGGCCGAGTACTTTTGATGAAAATAGCCGGAATCGCTGGAGTAGGCGCCGAAAACGGTAAGGGACCGTCTGTAAAGTGCGGGTACTGATTAAAAACATAAAACATTCAAAGACATGAGGAGCCTGTTGGCGTTATTTATAAAGACTTTAAACCTACTGAAATAGAAAGATGATGTGAAAATCAATAACTGTCACTAACAAGTATACATCTGACCTGATCTGACAAACATACTACAACCTTTAGATTGATAAAATTTGCCTTAGTTGAATTGCAGAGATAATTTTTATATGTAATTAATTGCTACTGTGAGACGACAATAAGACATACACATCTAAAGTCACTTGTAGTGTACAGGTATCCATCTTGCAAAAATAATACAACCTTTAGTTTGATAATACATTCCTTTTTTTGATTTTTTATGACATTTAAATTCCTATTGTGTCACGTTCATATAACATACAGATATAAATTCACTTGTAATGTACAGAGACACACCTGACAAACATATTAGTTTGGTAAAATATGCCTTGACTGAATTTTAATGAATTTTTTCTAGAAATAAATTACTACTGTGTCACATCCATATGACTTACAAATCTAAAATCACTTGTAGTGTACAGAGACACACCTGACAAACATACTACAACCTTTAGTTTGGTAAAATATGCCTCGACTGAATTTTAATGAATTTTGTATAGAAATAAATTACTACTGTTTCATATCCATATGACTTACAAATCTTAAATCACTTATAGTGTACAGAGACACACTTGACAAACATACTACAACCTTTAGTTTGGTAAAATATGTCTCGACTGAATTTTAATTAATTTTTTCTAGAAATAAATTACTACTGTGTCACATCCATATGACTTACAGATCTAAAATCACATGTAGTGTACAGAGACACACCTGACAAACATACTACAACCTTTAGTTTGGTAAAATATGCCTCGACTGAATTTTAATGAATATTTTATAGAAATAAATTACTACTGTGTCACAGCCATATGACTTACAGATCTAAAATCATTTGTAGTGTACAGGGATATGCCTGACAAATATACTACAACCTTTACTTTGGTAAAATATGCCTTGACTGAATTTTAATGAATTTTTCCTTGAAATAAATTACTACTGTCATATCCATATGACTTACAGATCTAAAATCACGTGTAGTGTACAGAGACACACCTGACAAATATACTACAACCTTTAGTTTGGTAAAATATGCCTCGACTGAATTTTGATGAATTTTGTATAGAAATAAATTACTACTGTGTCATATCCATATGACTTACAGATCTTAAATCACTTATAGTGTACAGAGACACACTTTAATTATTTTTTTCTTGAAATAAACTGATATTGTGTCACATCCATATGACTTAGTGATCTAAAATCACTTGTAGTGTAGAGAGACACGCCTGACAAACATACTACAACCTTTAATTTGGTACAATATGCCTCGACTGAATTTTAATGAATTTTTTCTAGAAATAAATTGATACTGTGATACAGTTGTAGTGTACACTGATTTGCAGTGAACATGACACAAACGTATTTCAACCTTTAGTTTACTAAATTTATTCTTTGATTGGATTTTAATTTCCTGCAACAGACTTGCGACCTGTCCAGGGTGTTTTCTGCGTTTCACCAAATGACTGCTAGGATAGGCTCCCCCTCCCCCCCTACGACCCAGAATGATAAACAGCTTAGAAAATGTGTGTGTGTGTGTATATGTCAATTTTAATTATTCTTCTTAAAAAATCCTATTCACCTATTTGACATGCTGAGCTAAAATCACTTTTAATTTATTAAGACACATCAATTGACCCTACTATTTACAACTTTAGGTTTAAAAAGTACCTCTACATTTTTATGGCCACCAGAGAATCACTTCCATCTTATATGGCTGCCCAACCCTGCTTGTGACTTTCTGTGCATAGTTCCAGTCCTGATCTCACATACTTTAGAACATACACTTTTTATCAACGTCTTTAAGAGCATCTGAATACTAGGTGTGGTGGAACTACAACCCTGCTGGGTGATAGTTTTTTAGGTGTAGATTTGAGTATTTTTGAGCACCCCATTTCCAAAAAAGTTGGGAAAAGAATTTTGGTAATTTTGGAAATTTGATTCATTGGACCACAGGACACTTTTCCACTTCCCCTCAGTCCATTTTAAATGAGATTGGGCCCAGAGAAGGTGACAGCGTTTATGGTCCTGTTTATATACGGTTTCTTCTTTGTGTTTTAGAGTTTAACTTGCATTTGTGGTTGCAGTGATGAAATGTTTTCACAGACACTGGTTTTCAGAGGTGTTTCTGAGCCCATGCAGTGATTTCCACTACAGAATCATGTCTGTTTTTAATGCAGTGCTGCCTGAGGGCCCAAAGATCATGGCCAGCAAATACCGGTTTTTGGCCTTGTCCCTTGCATACAGAGATTTCTTTTATCTTTTAATGGCATTACGTACTGTAGATGATGAAAAGCAACAGTTCTTTGCTATTTTATGTCAAGACACGTTATTCCTGAATTGTTGCACTATTTAATTGTGTGGTCTTTCACAGAGTGATGAACCCCTCCTCATCTTTACTTCTGAAAGACTCAGCCTCTCTGAGATGCTCTTTATACCCAATCATGTTACTGACCTGATGCCAATCAAACACCAGGTTTATTTTTTTTACATTTCACAACTTTACCGGCCTTTTGTTGTCTCTGTCCCAACATGTTCAAAATGGGCAAATACTTTTCAAAAAACAATAACATTTCTCAGTTTCAACATTTGATATGTTATCTTTGTACTACTGTCAATTAAATATTGAGTTTAAATAATTTGCACATCATTGCATTTTGTTTTTATTTACATTTTGTACAGCGTCCCAACTTTTTTGGAAATTATCAAGCTTCAGGCTTGTGAGATTTTTGGTGTCACTCCACTCTTCTGTTCCACCAGGGGTTCTAGTGTCCTGCTCAGCCAGCCTCCACCACTGACCAGCTCCTCATACCTGTCCAAAATGCCAATCCTGTGGTCCAGATTCACCCAATGTTTTGGGCTTTGGGAGCCTCACTTTATGTAGTGTACTCTTGTTTGGGACTGGCCCGCTCTGGCTCTGACTCCACTCACTTATTACCACACACACTTGTGGCCCATTTCTAAGACTGAATAACAAACAGTATTAATTTAATGTTTTAGGCACTTGAGAAAAATGTATTTAAAAAGCTATTTAATTGGTCAGTAAGCAATTAAGAATGTTAAGAAAAACATAAATATTAGGATGAATACAAATTTCCAAACATTCCAAACCCTCTTGGGGTTTCTAAACCCTTGTGGACATCAAGTAATAATTGTAGTTTTCATCCACTAGCCGGTTTCATTAATTAGTCTTTCATTAAATCAGGAGTGCTGGTTGTTGGATATGAACCAATCCATGTCATGTCTCAGGACATTAAGGAGAATTTGGGAACCAAACTTTGCTGCTCTAACCAGCTCACAATAACATAAAAACATAAGAAATGCTTATTACATTTTACTTCACTGACTGTAGTGCTTGTTTGTATTAATTTGAATGTTATATTGTGTTTTTACAAGCCAAAATATGCTTACAGCCAAGACAAAGGGTTTTAAATGTAAAGACTTTGGTCTCTTGCCTTGCAAAGTGTTGCAGCTTTCTGAGTGCATTTCTTAACCATGTTCTTGTTCTGCAATATCTCTTGCTTTAACCATTCTTCTGTTTTGTTGGATTTTGATTGTAAATTTGCCTAGTTTGTGCCTGCTTGCCGATGTACTGACACCTTCCTCTGATGACTATGAGAGTCAGATGGTCCCTAATAAAGAGGGTCGGTGCATGTATACTTCCGCAGCACCCATTTGTTTTAACAAATAACGCAAACCTATAAAAAAAAATATAAATTTGAAGATTTTAATATTTTTAATTGTTTAATTTCTAATAATTATGACTATTCTGACAAACTGTTGACATACAGATCTACAGATTTACAATCACCTTTAGTGTACTTACGCACATCTCATAAACCTTTGGTTTGGAAAACATGCAATATATATATAAGGAGTTTTAGGAGCATGTTATGCAAAGCTGCGCCGTGGGCATTTTAATTTTGGACAATACATTTTAACTTTGACATGTTTTGCAGTCCTACTAGAATTTTCCTGAAAACCTTTCTCAAGCAAACTACAACCTTATTAGCATATTGTGGCAGAATTAGTTTTTTCTGGAACAAATAATTTGTCGCACATGAGCAACATACAGTAGTTTGATTGTCATTTTTATATCATGAATGAAGTGTTGCTGAGGCACATCCATCTGACAAAAAATTATATTCATCTTAAAAAAACAAAGAAATAAAACTGACAAAAGTGTATCCAGTCTACATTAAGTACAAACTGCCATCATTATATCCAAAGATGTGCAGAATTAAAATAAATATATTCTGGGGTATGAATTGCTGAACAGCTGACTATAACTTACACAACACTAAACTAACAATACAGTAAAAAATTAAAAATTATTTGTTGCAATGTTTCTACTTTAAAAATATTTACTTCGCAGTACATATATCTTCCTGAACTACTTTTTTTACACATCCGTTTCACACATTTCACATTGCCATGTTGTTTCCTCATCAGGAACAGCACCTGGTATCATTCCAAAGCAGTCTGCATGGAGCCAACATTTACAAGTTCCACATTTTATATAAATAGCCAAATAGAAGAAAGTGTGTGATAACAGTACCAGCAAATTTTGAATTCAAACATTTTAAAATTTTAGCATAATAATAATTTTCTGAAAATCTCTTAAAAACAAAAATCAGTGAAACAATGCAGCAGCCACACCAGAAAAATTCATTAAAATTCAGTCGAAGTGTATTTTACCAAAGTAAAGGTTGTAGTATGTTTGTCTCTCTACACTACAAGTGATTTAAGATCTCCAAGTCATATGGATGTGTCACAATAACAATTTATTTCTAAAAAAAATTAATCAAAATTCAGGTGAGGAATATTTGATCAAACTAAAGGTTGTAGTATGTTTGTCAGGTGTGTCTCTGTACACTACAAGTGCTTTTAGATCTGTAAGTCATATGGATATGACACAGTAATAATTCATTTCTAGAAAAAATTCATTAAAATTCAGTCGAGGCATATTTTACCAAACTAAAGGTTGTAGTATGTTTGTCAGGCATGTCTCTGTACACTACAAGTGATTTTAGATCTGTAAGTCATATGGATATGACACAGTAGTAATTTATTTCAAGGAAAAATTCATTAAAATTCAGTCAAGGCATATTTTACCAAAGTAAAGGTTGTAGTATGTTTGTCAGGTGTGTCTCTGTACACTACAAGTGATTTTAGATCTGTAAGTCATATGGCTGTGATATAATTGCGATTTATTTCTATAAAATATTCATTAAAATTCAGTCAAGGCATATTTTACCAAACTAAAGGTTGTAGTATGTTTGTCAGGTGTGTCTCAAACCAAAGCTTGTATGTTATTTGTATTATGTTGTTTAATTAAGTACAAGTTATTTTATTTTGCAGTAGGTTTGTTCAGTGTGTCTCAGTTCAATTTGTAAGTCCACTGCATACACCTTTAGACTGCTTAATTTGCTAAAAGTGTATACTTGTTAATGTCAGGTATTGATTTTCACATCATCTTCGTATTTCAGTGGCTTTCAGGTCTTTATAAACAACAGCAACAAGCTGCTCATGTATGTGGATGTTCTACGTTTTTACGCAGTACCCACACTTTACAGACGGTCCCTTACCGTGTTAGGCGAACGCTGCAGCGAGTCCGCCTATTTTCATTATATCTACTTGGCGAAATGGAAAGATCGGGTACTTCGGCGAAATATAAAGATTGTAGTTTGTTGTCTGTTTTACCACGATTTAGAAAATGTTATTTCATAAAATTTTAAGAGGTTGTGTGTGAACAATAGGAGGGGCGAAACGCGAATATCCGCTGAATATCCAATATCAACCTAACTTTACCGAGCTCAGCCAGCCATCGGCATCTGCCTCTTAAAACTATAAAAATGCAAAGTTTTGATACTACCTAATGCTATTTAGAAGTGGCACCCACTGTTTAAGAAGTGACCTCTGTCTGCAGCTGTGACAGCACCGTTCACACACAGAGACTCCATTGACATCACTACTCGTTCTCTTAATCTATGTACCATTGAGATACAAAGTGTTCTTTAACCTATGTGTTAATATTGTTTAATAATATTACGTAGCTTTAGTGAATATGTTAAACGCTCTTACTGTTATTGGAATATGTCAGCTATCTGGAACTGACCATATGGAAATATATATATTTATTTATATGTATATAACGTTATATACGAACTATTTGTGTGGTACACCTTTGGTTGTCTTGGTTGTTTGGATTAGGCTGTCAGTCTTGGGAGACAAATCTGCTTATTTCTCTACAAGAACAGATGTTGTGACACCTAAGAAGTTCCAGTACCAATTACCTTATACCTAAAGTAAAAACATGCACTTGAGTAACCTTTAGACTTTTAGCAATGTGAACTTACTTGCGCTTTCGTCAAAGCTAAGGCAAACCCAGTGTAATTCCATATTAGTGTTATGAATATTTTTTATTTATTTTTTTGTAATTAAATATTACTTGTACAAACTACATCCAATGCCACTAACAGCAAACAGTTAATGAACACACGAAAACTAATTAGTAAAATTATATTAGTTATACTTATGTTTAAAATCAAACTTAGTTTTGATTGCACTTTCAGTGTGGATGGCTACTCATGCCACTCATGAGCATCAATTGAATGCCACTGGCTTTTGGTTAAGTGCCACTCCTGAGCAGCAGGTGCCACTGCCTGCCCGTTGTAGACGCTGATGAGGAATCTCTAAATTATACAAATTCATGCATAAAAACAAGATCACAAGCCTGCACTTCTCATGTGTTATTTAATAAATACGCTGATAAATGGCCTTACAGCATTTATATTTAGCATGAATAACACAACAAATAATTCATGACAAAAGCCCAGAGTCTATATTAAAGCTAGTATTACTGCTATAGTCGCATAGCCTTTGGCTAAAATGTCTTATTTTGCTTACAACTAGTGAACCAACGAAATGCAGACTATCTGTACAAAGTCTTCAGATGGACATTCCTTTGTCACTTTTCCCAGGTTCTGATGGTCGATGGTGGTACTACGATGTGCTGCTAGTTGGCGTAGCCGAGTAGCCGCTGTCCAGAGCCACCGCTTTACTCAAAGGAGCTGTTGGTAGGTGTCTGTTTTGAGCGGCACGCGCCGTTTCGGTGTGGCAGGTGCCACTGGCGAGTGCCAGTAACCGAGTGGCGTGAGGGACAAGTGCCACTCGTTAACAGTTATTGATGGGGGGTGCCATTTGTTAAGTGGCACATGCGAGCACGTGCCATTTCCGGATGGCAGAGTTGCTACTTTCTGCTGCCATATGTCAATGAAGGACTGAACCCTTGCTGCATGCTCCTATATAGTTGAAAGGGAAGAGACTTATAAAACCGAAACTGATAGCAAGGCTGTTTCAAAATCTATTTTAAATCACTGGTAAAAATAATTGGTGGTTTTTGGTCACGTTACGCACAAAAAAAAGTTCCAATTTTTCTGCGATTACAGAAACAGAATCTCCACAACAATGGGGGCATTTTCCTACTTACACTTTTAACATCTGACTGGCTATTTTTATTTAGGGGCGGGACATTCCGTATTACATACAATACAAAAATATGTTGAACATTATGATTTATCCACATTTTTATTTCAACTGTCCCCTCTTTCTTTTACAACATATCTGTTTTGGCCCACATTAAAGTACGCATTCAGCTAGCATATTAACAGGCTCCTCCAGTACTATTTAGAGAGAAGGTCTAACGTGAGCTTTCTTTCTACAAAGTAAAGAATATGTTGCTTCAGATGTAGGGGAAAATAGGGAAGAGGCCTCCCATAAGAACAATGTTTATTTACTTACTATAAAGCTAAGCCATATGTTTGGTGCGTAAGTTTATCATGTACAAGAAGATAGTTTATAAATCTACGCACACATAGGGGAAATTAAGTGGAACAACAGTAAACCAGTTTTTTTAGGTGCCCCATTGGCAAAACTTCCAACAATTTGGCATCTGTCATGTCTAATAATTTCACAGAAATTGGTTATTAAAGTATAACGCTATAAATATTAGACTTAACGGTGAAAATGTCTTAGTCTTTGTCAATCTGTTATCTGTAATTATTTCAAGCTATGAGAAAAGACAAATTACAGTACTATAAAAGTTCAAAGTTAAAGTATCAAAGTTAAATGTTCTCACTCCACAAACCCTCCTTAATCAAATATATTTAACAACTTGTCTTGTACAACTTAATGTATATGCATATATCACTCTTGTCCATTGACAAAATTCTGGGGCAATAAATTCCAGGTAAGCAATGATCCAGACTGGGCAGGTGAGGGTGGGGGCACATCTTACCTTGGGGGGGCTTCACTTGGACACCCAAGTGTAAGCCAAAGCAGCTATAAATATGCATATATAGCTGTTGTAAATAGTGCATTTCATCATAAAGTAACAATTAAATTCTTGCACTGGTGGAACATATGGCCGATCTGTAGAACACTGTATGGAGGGTATGTGTTTGTTTATTTTACTTATTTATTTTTCTGAAAAGGCATAGCTAATGTTTTTGGCTTAAGGTAAGAGCACTAAACACACCGTTGTTGTGCATTTAGTTGCTTCTGCTTGGTGAAACCCATCTACAGGCATTAGCTTTAATGGGGCCTGAAATTTTGGTCTGAATCTGAATAAAGCTTGAGAATGTTCTGTCTGAACAGACCTGAACCACATCTAGTTTTGAGACTGAAACTGACCCAAGTATAACAAGTGCAGGTTACAGTGTAGTGACAATAACAGCAAATATTAGATCACCAACCAATAAAAATACAGAACAATATATTAAAATAATCAGCTGTCCAAAATGTTTGCAAACACATGCTACATTGCTACTTCTGCAGCTACTCCGAATATGTTTTTTAGAATTAGCTCTTAAGCACTCTATGCCTACCACTTTTGACCATAAATGAATTAACTTTGTAAAAATCAACAGCTCTTTTTTCGCTTTTACAGTTCAAATGTCTCTACTTTCTGTTTATATTTAAAGCATAGTTAGGTAACGAACACTTAATGTAAACAATCTCTGACAAAACCACTTGACGATTTAGCTGATAATGACAACGCCATATCACTGTAGCGAGATACTGCGTTGAAAATAAAAGATTTTCCAGCAAACCCCAAAAAATAATCTTAGGTTAAGAACCACTGCCTTAAACATAGTGGGCTATTTGTTTCAGAAAAAAAATTTACAGGCTCAAAAATAAATGAACAGTTGGCCGATGAGCAGTTTCATGGCCAGGTGTGATCTGTTTCCATATTATTTCATGACAAATCAATGAGATAAAAAGTCTGGTTCCAAGTGTTGAATATGCATTTGGTAGCTGTTCATGGGAATCTTCAATATGTCGTCCAAAGAGGTGTCGATGCAAGTGAAGGGGGGCATCATTAGGCTGAAGAAAAAACCTAACAGAGAGATAGCAGTGGTCAAACCAACAATATGTTACTTAAATAAGAGGAATGTTGTATCATTGTGGATGTCAATAATCAAGAGACATCTTCATAAACATAAATTCCAAGGGTTTACCTCAAGATGCAATCGGCATGTATGGCCGACAATGGAACTAGGTCACTGCTGTTTACTGATGTGACTGCTTATGGAAGTGGCAGGATGGATTCTTAAGTGTACAGACCTATACTGCTCAAATTCAATCAAATGCTACAAAACCATCAGGATGGTGCTTCACAGTACAGATGGATAATGACCCAAAACATGCAGTGAAAGCAACTAGAGAGGCAAAGAAATGGAATGTTCTTAAATGGTCGAGTCAGTTACCTGACATCAGCCCACAGGTGGACAAGAGTCTCGCCTCCACATCAACCCAATTCAGTATGCTTTTCACTTGCTGAAGACAAAAGTGAAGGCAGAAAGACCAACAAACAAGCAGCAACTGGAGGCGGCTGCAAGTAAATGCCTGGCAAAAAATCTTAAGCAAGGAAACTCAGGATCTAGTGATGTTCATGGGTTCCAAACGGATTAAGGATTTGCATCCAAATATTAAAAATAAGTCTTGTATTTATAATTGTTAGTTTGTCAAATTACTTTTGAGCTTGTGAAAATGGAGGGACTATGTAAAAATGGCTATACTTCCTAAACAGTTAATGCAATATTTTTGTTAAAGTCTACACTTTAATCACATCTTGACTGCTTCAATTCAAATCCATTGTGGTGGTACCCCTGGAGGCAAAATTACAAAAATTGTGTCACTGTTCAAATACTTATGGACCTGACTGTACAAGTGACTTTGCAATGTAGAGCCTATAATGGACAAAGTACACAACTCTTGTACTTGAGTATAAGAGTTACCTTTTATAAAATAGTACTTGTACTGAAATACTAGTACTGAAATATTTTTGTATTTAAAGATACAAAAACATTGCTTTTACATGTACTTAAGTATCAAAAGTACAAGTAATATGAATTAATCTAGTTAAAGGCTAAAAACATGAAACAGTTTAAAAAATATCTTTCCTGTTTATTAGAATGGTATTAATTCAATACTGCTTCTGTCTTGCATGCTGGTAAAGACCAATGGTCCAGATCCCCATTGTGCTATACCAGCAATAAAACTGAGGCACAAAACAATGGAAAAAAACAGCATTGGAAAAATCACAGCATTGGTACACACCCACAGCCTGTGCAATCTTACATTCACACTGTTCTGTAGCTATATGGCTATAGCTTCCTTTCTAGTCATGCAACAGGTCACATGATAACAGTTAAAAAAATTAAATGGTTAAAAACATCCACTAACAGTTAGAAATGTAGTGGTCTCATCACATAGCCTGTTTCTTATGATTTTTGAGTGGAACTGCTGTCTTCCATAGTTCATAATCCACATTTAACAGCTCTTCTCTTGTGTCTTCAGTTTAGGAAAAGATTCCAAAGTTCAATCCCCTTTAAACTCATTGAATATTGTTGGGTATATAATCTATGTGAAAATATCTCCCGAGGTATCAGAGGTGCCCAGGGCTTGTTACAGTTGAACAATCAGTATATAAGGTAAGTGTTTAGTGAAAGACACTATGGTTGGTTTGCTTCAATTTGAAAGCACAGTCCATTTAATTTCATACAGGCACTTCTTGAGGCTTGCTTTTATCTGTGTGAAAAACAGGTACCCCTGGATATGCTGATGCTGACACTTTTCTCTATAAGACAGAGAGGAAAGTATTAAAATGAGAAAACATCCCCAGTTTGCTTTTTTACTGGCTGGCAGGGTTCCAGTGGGTGTACTGCACACTGCAGCTCTTACACTGGCTATATATACCCGATGTACTTAAATCTACATCTGCATATAGTGCATTACCTGGATAGAACTGTCATGATTATTGTACAATGGCATCTTTATTGTGTCGGTAAAGTACACAACTGATTGTATATTACCTGCACAATAAAGTAGTTCTCACCTCATTACGATGTGCTTTTAGTTTATCTTCCAGTTTCTTGTGTCAGACACTCTCTTCTCCAGGTTCTCTTTCATTTCTTTCTCTCCGCCTTTTTCCTCTTTAAAAGTGGGGTAATCATCTTCTAGTGTTGTATCTGACAGACTTACCAATGAGATCATAGACTCCTCAAGGATGCCTTTTTCAAAGTCAAGTTTCTACAAACAAAAGTTATTCAAGAGCTTACACATTTATGAAATGCTTAAACATAGCTTTAGCAGAGAAGTGATGCAAGTAATCAGCATACACAGATAGCAGTGATTAGTGTAAATGTTTTGATACCTTACCAGTACTCTTTCCCACTGATGACAGACTGCTGGGCCAGAAGCTGAATGGTCATCCGTATTAAAGCTACGTTGTGGATGGCCACTGAGCAGTTGTATGGCGGGAGTCACTTCTGACCCTAGTTTATTTGTAAGAAGCTCTTTTTGTATTGGCTCTGGGCTGTTGTCATGGACACAGGTGTTAGAAGTGGGTGGCTGTACTACAAAGCTTTTGTCAGCTGACATGAGAGACACTTTTTCTGTATCATGACAGGAATCATTTGAAATGAGAAGTTGCTCCATAGACATCTGCAAATGTTCGTACTGGGTGTCTGATCGAAGACGCTCAAGGGGGTTCAACCACCCTGACTCGAGGGAAGGATCCGTTTTGTCCAGCCATTGAGAAGCAGCTGGATCAGTATCAGTGGTGGAATCTCCCACAGGTGAACAACAGAGTCTCACCTCCACAGGGAGGTGTAGGTTCATGGGATATTCTGCCATGCTGTTGTATGTGACCTCAGGAGACAGAGGCTGGAAGGTATCTGTTTTCATGCAAAAAAATAATTTTAGGTATATTATATAGAGTATTTAATGATAGCTTGACAGCACCACAGCTTTATAAATATTGTTTTGCAGTCTGCCTGTGCCTTGCCTTGCATAGTGGTATTGAGGAAATCCCTGTACTCCAGGCACTGTGTGGACAGCCACTGTTGCATTGTTTTGGCACTTGTGGCCCTCTCAGGGCTAAAGCGCAGAACTGTACTTTCCCCTGCAGTCACGACTGAGACACTGCCTCCTACGGCATTTGATGAAAACATTAGGAATCAGGTTGCACATTGAGCAACTTAGGATTCGATCATGCACAGCCATTACTGCAAGCTGCTCTTCTTCAAAAGAACAAGCCTTTTTTTTATAGAAAAGCCTTCAGTTCAAAGAACAGAACTGACACACTATATGCAGTAAATGCTGTATTTAAAGAAGAAAGGTAAAACAACTTTAGCTTTACCAGCATTACCAATGCATGGAGGAGAGGAAATGGCAAGAAACATAAAATCCTGTATCTTAATCTGTGTGAACATCTGGCCTCACTGTTCTTAGCTGCAGCCATCATTTAGCTCTCAGCCACCGCAGAAGCCTTGCTCTAGCTCTCCAACAGAGCTACATCCAAATTACATTACTCAGCTGGCCTAAAATCTGCTTTGAGAAGAACAATAACACCCTTAAACAGCATGCCTCCACATCTCAACTCTTCTGCCAAGGTGCTTGGTAGCCCTTACATGAGTTTGTCTATGGACATACACACCTGTGACGGTCTGGCTGCTGTCATGTTCACTGGTGGAATAGCTGCCAGTTGAGATGGTAGTGGACATCATATAATCTGGATCAGCAGTAGCTCCATCATGCAGTGAGGCCAGTTGCAGCTGAACAAACAAACATGAAATTAGGTTATATTATAACACAAAAACACTGTATAGAACACAGTGCAGTTTGTTGCACTCTGAGGCGAGGTGATGTGCATGTCTAGCAAAAATTTAGGATGCATGCAACTTTACTAAAAAAATTAATTAACAATAACTGTTCTATCTAAAGGCTGTTGCTGATTAAGTTTAATTTAGGCTATGAAGCTGCTGAATACTACACAAATAAACGAATACCAACATAACGAACACCTGAATATTTAAATTCTTCAGACCAGCCCTAATGTAAGGCAGAATCCATTTTGTATTTGTTTTAAACACAGTGTGATGAATGTTAGGGAATACTGTACTTCATCTCACTGTTAATGTTGCCTTTAGAATTCAAAAGTCATACTGTTAATTAATCTGTAAAAATAGTTTTCTGTGTTCAACTTAATAAATACAAAGGGCCAGACACATGATTCTAAATATAGTTCTGGACTGGGCTTAACAGCAATTAATTTTTCTATTTTTTTTTGCCATAGCATCATTAAATGCATTAATCAGAAACAAGAGCTTCACTGAAAGCACTAATTTTACAACTGGTATTTAAATCAAAATCCCAGTATTGCTACAACCCTAGTTTGAAGGTTACGGGTTTAGAGTCAAAGTCAGAAAGCTACAGGCAGCAGTTAGTGATGAAGATCAGGGTTAGATGGAAGGGGGTTTAGAACCAGATTTGGTGCTCTGTTTGGCAATTACCCTGTTCAAATACACCCACTAAATCTGGCAATAAACAAATAAGTTGAATCAGGTGTGTTTGAGCTAGACGAAATAAAAAAAAATAATAAAATTTGACTCCAGCCTCCCAGGATAGAACTTCAAGACCCATGGGTTCGAGTATTAGCTTGAGGATCAGTTGGCCAATGATCCAGTTAGGGTTAGAGAGCCATCTGCAGTAGCAGTAACACTGACTAAGGCACTTACCTTCTCTACGTGCTGCTGTTCTATGGGAAATTCACCTGCATAACCAAATCAGAATGAAGAAACAAGTTTGTAATCTTGATCTGCCCTTTGACTTAAAAAACATTAAAGAATCAAAAATAACAGTAATGAAAAAGTGGAGCTCTCCCTTAACAATAATACATCAATGGAACAAAATGTGTAAGATCTAAGAGATATTGACATACAGTGGTACATTAAAGTTTGTGAATCCTTTAGAATTTTCAATGTTTCTGCATAAATTTGACCTAATACTTCTTCAGATTTTCACACAAGTCCTAAAAGTAGATAAAGAGAACCAAATGAGACAGAAATATTAGACTTGGGTCATTTATTTATTGAGGAAAATGATCCGATATTACAACCTCATTTCCAAAAAAGTTGGGATGCTGTGCAAAAGGTAAATAAAAACAAAATGCAATGATTTGCAAATCATTTAAACAGTATATTACATTGAAAATAGTACAAAGACAACATTTCAAATGTTGAAACTGATCTTTTTTTTTCTTCTTAATATTTGCCCATTTTGAATTTGATGCCAACAACACCTTCCAAAAAAGTTGGGACAGGGGCAACAAAAGGCTGGCGAAGTTGTGTAATGCTAAAAAACAACTGGTGGTTGATTGTCAACAGGTCAGTAACATGATTGGGTATAAAAAAGCATCCCAGAGAGGCTGAGTCTTTCAGAAGTAAAGATGAGGAGGGGTTCACCACTCTGTGAAAGACTGCATGAGCAGTCTTTTTTATTATTTAAAAATAACTTTTTTGGAATGTGATGTGGCATTAAATTCAAAATGGGTTTATATTTTTCAAAAAAATGATACATGTTGTCTTTGTAGTATTTTCCTTTAAAAATATGGTTTACATGATATGCATATCATTGCATTCTATTTTTATTTACATTCTGCACAGTGTCCCAACTTTTTTGGAAATGGGTTTGTACATATCTGTTACTGGCAAAAGTATGTGAACCTCTAGAATTAGCAGATAATTTGAAGGTGAAATTAGAGTAAGGTGTTTTCAATCAATGGGATGGCAATCAGGTGTGAGTGACCACCCTTTTTTATTTAAAGAACAGAGATCTATCACAGTCTGATCTTCACAACACATTTGTGGAAGTGCATCATGGCATGAACAAAGGAGATTTCTGAGGATCTCAGAAGAAGAGTTGTTGACACTCATCAGGCTGGAAAAGGTTACAAAACCATCTCTAAAGAGTTTGGACTCCACCAATCCACAGTCAGACAGACTGTGTACAAATTGAGGAAATTTAAGACTACCAACAACGATCACACCAAGAGCAATGTGTGTAATAGTCCGCAAGGTCACAAAGGAACCCAGGGTAACTTCTAAGAAACTAATGGCCTGTCTCACAGTGGCTAATGTTAATGTTCATGTGTCCACCAGCAGAAGCACACTGCACAACAATGGTGTGCATGGCACGGTTGCAAGGAGAAAGCCACTGCTCTCTAAATAGAACACTGCTGCCCGTCTGCAGTTTGCTAAAGATCACATGGACAAGCAAGAAAGCTATTGGAACAATGGTTTTTGGACAGATGAGACCAAAATAGATCTTTTTGGTTTAAATGAGAAGCGTTATATGTTTGGAGAAAGAATAACACTGCATTCCAGCACAAAAACCTTATCTGTGAAAACCCATCTGTGAAACACGGTGGTGGTAGTATCATGGTTTGGGCCTGTTTTGCTGCATCTGGGCCAGGGCAGCTTGCTATCATTGATGGAACAATGTACTCTGAATTATACCAGCAAATTCTAAAAGAAAATGTCAGGACATCTGTCTGTGAGCTGAAACTCAAGAGAACATGGGTCATGCAGCAAGACAACACCCTAAGCACACAAGTCATTCTACCAAAGAATGATTAAAGAAGAATAAAGTAAATGTTTTGGGATGGCCAAGTCAAAGTCCTGTCCTTAATCCTATGCGTCAGGAAGGACCTGAAGCAAGCAGTTCATGGCAGGAAACCCACAAACATAACAAAGTTGAAGCTGTTTTGTACGGAAGAATAGGCTAAAATTCCACCAAGCTGATGTGAACGACTAAACAACAGTTACCAGAAACGTTTAGTTGCAGTTATTGCTGCACAAGGGGGTCACACCAGATACTGAAAGCAAAGGTTCACATACTTTTCCCAGTCACAGGTATGTAACATTGGATCATTTTCCTCAATAAATAAATGACCAAGTGTAATATTTTTTGTTTCAATTGTTTAATTTGGTTCTCTTTATCTACTATTAGGACTGAAAATTTAATGAAGTTTTTATGCGTGAATATAAAAACATTCTTAAGGGTTCACAAACTTTCAAGCACCACTGTAAAATGTTTGATAGAGCTGTCAAATATCACAATGCCGATATGAGAAGAGTTTTATTATTAATCGATACATTTAATAATAATAGAATTATTATTAAAATAGTGTTCCTCTGACTGGACGTGACGTATGTACAGACTTTTTTTTTTTTATGTGTAACCAGCAAGCTAACTGACCTCTCCTTTAAGCAAATAGCAAAATACAAAATTAGTACAAATACAAAAAAGTATCATTCACTATTCTACAAAAAGAAATGAAATACTAACAGCTACTAACATCAGAACTACAAGCACAATTTTTTATGCACTGAAAGGCTGAGACACAGTCAGCATTACCTCAACAGCGTTTTCTATAAAGGCTACCAAGATAAATAAACATAGATTTATTTTTATACAGGCATACAAGAATGAATGCAAGAATTTTTACATTCATGCATAAAACCTTCATTAGATTTTCACACAAGTCCTAATAGTAGATAAAGAGAACCACATTAAAAATTGTGTGCTTACCCATGAGCGAAGCTGCTGCTATTTACCTGTGAGTGTTTACTCATATGGAATCATCTATGTGAGGCTCATGTGTATATTTATCTCCATTTGCAAGGTTGCTCTGATTAAGAACAGCTCACACTGCAGCTCAGATTGATTGTTTATCTGTGAAGCTTTACCTGTGTATGAATCTGCTGATTCCAGCTGCAGCGTCTCTCTCCATGATAGGCTGCTGGCTCTGCATGTGTTGTTCTGCAACATCAGGACCTCTGAGCTAGAGCCTGGCCCTGGACTATCCTCTGACCCTACAATGAGTAGAGAGACAAGGACATTGCTGGACTCAAAGGGTTCTGAGCCCTCTGCCAATGACTGCTTCACAACCAGAAATCAGTTCTGATTGCATATACCTGCTCAGAATCTGCATTAAAAAAGTTCAACCTGAACTCTGTCTCAGTAGTTACTTTCAGAAAGGTTTTAGTCACAGACCACAGAAAGTAGATCATCATGCACTCTAAATTCACTTAACCTGTGTAGGAATAACACATTATTACAACAAACCATAAAAATAGAAATTATCTACAACCCCATTACCAAAAAAGTTAGAATGCTGTGTAAAATTCAATGATGTGCAAATAAATTAAACCCTATATTTATTTGAAAATAGTACAACAAATCAAATGTTGAAACTGAGAAATTTTATTGTTTTTTGAAAAATATATGCCCATTTTGAATTTGATGCCAACACGTTCCAAAAAAGTTGGGACGGGGGCATGTTTACCACTGTGTTTCATCACCTCTTCTTTTAACAACACTCTGTAAGCGTTTGGGAACTGAGGAGACCGACTGCTGTAGTTTTGAAAGTGAAATGTTTTCCCATTTTTGCTTAACATAGGATTTCAGCTGCTCATCAGTTCAGGGTCTCCTTCATTGTATTTTTGATTTTATAATGTGTCAAATGTTTTCAGTGGGTGACCTGTCTCTTTTAATACGGAGCCACTTCCCCTCAGTCCATGTCAAATGAGCTCAGGCCCAGAGAAGGTGGCAGCATTCCTGGATCCTGTTCATGTATGCTTTTTTTCTTTCCATGAGTTTTAATTAGCACTTATGGATGCAGCGCCAAACTGTTTTCATAGACAGTGTTTTTCAGAAGTTTATCTGAGCCCATGCAGTGATTTCCACTATGGAATCATGTCTGTTTTTAATGCAGTGCCACTGAGGGCCCAAAGATCATGGCCAGCAAATACTGGTTTTTGGCCTTGTTCCTTGCATACAGAGATTTCTCCCAACTTTTTTTGCAATGTGTTGCTGGCATCAAATTCTAAATGGGCATATATTTCTCAAAAAACAATAAATTTTCTCAGTTTCAACATTTGATTTGTTGTCTTTGAAACATTTTCAATGAAATATAGGGATTAAATGATCTGCACATCATTGCATTTTGTTTTTATTTACATTTTTCACAGCGTCTGGAAATGGTGTTGTACTATTCTCTGTAAATTATTAGATAAATCTTGCTTTAATTCTTTTTACTTTTGCTTTAATCCTTGAATTATTTTTGCTACATCTTGCAGACATTAAATTTGGAATTAGTGTGTTTTAAAAAAGAAACAAAAAAAAACAATGAAGTTCATTAGGCAAAACATAAAAAAACTGTGCTTTGTTCTGTTTCCAATTAAATACAAGTCAAAAAGAATTTACTAGTCACTGCTTTCCGTATTTATTAGCATTTCACATATTGTCCCAATTTTTTTGGAATTGGGTTTGTACATGAATGTCATACAGCTGTTGTGCTTATATGCCAGATGGAAATGGAGTGAAAAATATATATTTTTACTCATTACAAAGATTTGTGTTTCATGCTTTCTAAATTGCTGTCACTATTCGTAAAATGAAAACCACACCTTACCAAGTTCTACACTTACATTTTTCAGTTTGCTTTCTGGCACTGTAAGGCTGCTGACACTAAATAACTGTTTGCTAAAGCTAGAGAGCTTGCACTAGCATCTAATACCTACAAACAGCTTATGAACAAGGATATTTCCACCCAGACTCTGGAAAACTAAACTATGAAAGCTTGAGGGTTAATTCAGTGTTTCTTACAGATTAGAAATATACTTTGATGCTAAGGCAGGGAGTGGGAGGGGCTTAGGGAGACAGACTCTAAAACACAAATAAATACCAAAATGCACTCAGCTTTTAAGAAAAAACATTTATAAGACTAAAAAAAAGGGTGGTCTGACCCACATTTATGGTAAAAATCAATAAATCAATTAACCTTTATTTAAACACAGAGCACATCGAGGAGGACCCTCATTTACAATGTAGCCGAGCCAATACAGAAATCAGGGATTGAAAAAACTGAAATGTAAAAACATATCAAATGCCAAAAATAATAATAATAATAATAACTAGAAAGGGAAAGTTCGTGAACAAAAGTTGGCTTGGAAAAGCCTGTTAATTATGTTAAAACGTTAAAATGGTTGAAGACTGTTGATAGTTGTTAAAATGGTGGTAAAATTTTGTTAAGCAGAAGCTGCAGTATCTGTCGTGGATGGTAATTCGTTGCTAGTTGCTACCGTGAATGAAGTTCCACCTTAAATTTTGTGCCACCTTAATTTTAGTGCTATGTTAATTGCAGTTTCACCTTAAATTCTGTGCCGCCTTAAATTTAGTACTATGTTAATTGAAGTTCCACCTTGAATTCAGTGCTAACTTAAAAGCAGTTCCACCTTAATGTCAGTTTCAGTGTAAACTCAGTGCTACCTTAAAAGAAGTTAAAATGGTTAAAATGGTCAAAGTTAAAATGGTCGAAGGCTGTTGATAGCTGTTGAAATACTGCCAAAATGTTCCTAAGCAGAAGCTGCAGTATCCTTGGTGGATTTTAATTCTTTGCTAGTTGCTACTGTGAATGAAGTTCCACCTTAAATTTTGTGCCACCTTAATTTTAGTGCTGCCTTAAAGAGAGTTCCACCTGAAATTCTGTGTCACCGTGAATGAAGTTCCACCTTAAATTCTGTGCCACCTTAAATTTAGTACTATGTTAATTGAAGTCCCACCTTAAATTCAGTGGTAACTTAATGCACTGAAATGTTCCTAAGCAGAAGCTGCAGTACCCGTGGTGGATTTTAATTCTTTTCCAGTTGCTGCTGTGAATGAATTTCCACTTTAAATTTTGTACCACCTTAATTTTAGTGCTATGTTATTTGAAGTTCCACCATAAATTCTATACCACCTTACATTTAGTGCTATGTTATTTGAAGTTTCACCTTAAAGTCTTTGCCAATTTTAGTGCTTCCTTAAAGAGTGAAATTGAAACTGAAATTTTGTGCCGCCTTAAAAGAGGTTCCACCTTAAATTTTGTTCCACCTTAATTTTAGTGCTAGTTTAATTTAAGTTCTACCTTAAATTCTGTGCCACCTTAAATTCAATGCAATGTTAACTGCAGTCTCACCTTAAATTTTGTGCCACCTCAAATTTAGTGCTATGTTAATTGCAGTGCCACCTTGAAAGAAGTTCCACCTTAAATTCTGTGCCATCTTAATTTTAGTGCTACTTTAAAGAGTTCCACCTTAAATTTCCACCTTAAATTCTGTACCTCCTTAAAGTTAGTCCAATGTTAATTGAAGTTCCACCTTTAATTCATTGCTAACTTAAATGCAGTTCCACCTTAATTTCAGTGTCAGTGTAAACTCAGCGCTACCTTAAAAGAAGTTCCACCTTAAAATTCAGTGCTACCATAAAAGAAGTTCCACCTTAAAATTCACTGCTACCTAAGTGCAATTCCACCTTAAAAGCAGTTCCACCTTAACAAATCATTATGTGTGCTGACACTGCTGAGCATTAGGCTGGGAGAGGGTGAGACATTAGGCTCCATGCGTCAGTTTGGATGGGTGTGTGAGTTAATGGGCCATTGTGACATCATGTGTGGCATGCTGCCAACATTCCGCCCATTCATTCCCTATGGGAAAAAATATCGACTTTGAACGTTCATTTTGGATCGCTTAGAAAAGCATAAGCACACCCCGCAGGTATGGGTCCTACGATCCTGCCAAGTTTCGTGGTTCTAGCTCGAAAACTGTAGGAGGAGTAGCATTTTATATTTTGAGCGTAGAATAATAATAAGAAGATTACGAAGAACAGTAATCATCATAACACTAAGTTATAATCATCATAACACTAAGTTAAATATAAAATAATCAGTTAAATCAGAATAAACTATTACAATTGCAACAATAAAGTAACTTAATAAATAACAGATCAAACAGGTATAAAATAAGTGAAAACAAAGGAATAGAAGATATAAAACAATAACTTGCAGCTAAAGATATAAAATCATATAAAATCATATAAAATCAAATAAAACTGTTGCATGCTGAGTTGAGGTGGTTAGAGACAAAGTTCAAAATGTTCATGTGACACCAGCGAGCGAAACTTTAGTGTTTCCCTGTTATAAATTCAATGTATCTCCTGATGCACAGCCAGTGATAACCAGTCAACCCTTTCATATAGTACAAAGTGATGGGTGTTGAATGGGTCACCAGTAATGAATCTTGAAGTGGCGTGATCTACAGACTTTTGAGTAGTTGCAGATGTATACCTGTATATCACATAACCATAATCCAGAATCAATAACGTTGCTTCAACGATCTTTTTCCTTGTGTGCACTAGCAAACATACTTTGTTTCGATACAGGGAGCCAAGTTTGTGCCTCATGTTACATGTAAGCTTGTTAACATGGTATTTAAAAGTGCATTTGTCATCTAGCCATATGGCAAGGTATTTGTACTCACAAACTCTTTCAATGTCAGATCCCTTTAAGGTTGTGATTTTGAAAGTGTTAAAATCAATATTAGAGGCTCTAGAAAACAACAAATTTAGTTTTCTCAACATTTAAGACTAGTTTATGAAAGTCAAAAGCTAATTTGTAGGGCATTAAAAGAATGATGCAGTAAATGGGGATTTAGATACTTTTCTGAGCATTTTTTCTCTGGCATTTTTTCACATGCTGATGCTGATTTACATAGTCACTGGCAAAGAGGTTTCACACACACTGAGCTAGACTCAAATCATGTGTTTTATTCCAACATCAACCGCTGAAATTACCAACTTTATAAAGACATAGTCAATCCTTCTGATTACATTTCAGTAAGGTTTAAGCTAGCTTAATGACCACAAAGCCCTCTCTGACACCATGAATTCACACATCAGGGTACCTGAACTACAAGCCTTTCATTTTACGCAGCTTACTCATCTCTTAAATAAATACTCGATGAATCAGTAGTGTAACCGTAACTAGGCATTCTTTCGAACTAAGAGAAAGCAAATTCTAGCCAGGACAACTTTGTGAGTTATGTGTAGTAGCTAGCTAACTTTAAGGAAGTGATGCTCTTACCAATGACTCCCCAACCTGAGCTGCATTAATGTAGCGGTCAAATTCAAAGCATGTTGTTCATTTTAACATAGATGAATAAAAACGGTAAACGTTTTTTTTGGGCAGGTGTCTATATAGCTGGACACACCATCAAAGTTTACCCTATGTGTGGGCAAACACTGGCTAATTCATTTTACAGGACGAGGCATACAGTGTGGCAATATTAATCACATAGCTAGCCCGTGAGCAAACTTTCTCCAGTTTTCATTGATAAATCACTGATTATCATCTTTTTAGTTATCTTTGTCAACTTCCAACACAGTTACCTAATAATAATAATAATAATCATAATAATAATAATAATAATAATAATAATAATAATAATAATAACAACAACAACAACAACAACAAGAAAAATGAACTGCACAGCTTTAGCAATTCCTCCAGTACTGCTGGGCTGTCCCAGATGGTTGCTAGGGTGTTGCTAGGTAGTTCTTAAGTGGTTGCTAGGGTGTTGCTAGGTAGTTGCTAGGTAGTTGCTAAGATGCTGGTATTTGATTGCTGTGGTGTTGAGGTGCTGAGGTGACTGCTGGGGTGCTGATAGTTGGTTACAATGGTATCTCTGGTAATTGCTAGGGGATTGCTGTGGTCTTCTAGGTGGTTACTTGGATGTTGCTGTTGGTGTCTCTGGTTAATATCACCGGACCATGTTTATTCTTTTTCTTTGATCTTTTCTTGTAGTGCTAGCTAGCGAGATATAAAGACAATTTAACCCAAGTTTAAACAGTTGTAATGTAATGATCTTAAGCAGTCTCCATCCTGAGTAGCACCAATATATGCACACAGAGAGAGCAGGTTATTAGACAACATTCCAGACATGGCAGGCCAGCTACAAACACACTCCTACTCTATTGAGCGGACCTCACGGCTGCATCCAGGAAGAACAAAGAAGGAAGTGTTGGTGTTTTTTTCAACCCTTAGAAGCCTAAAATTTTTGGGAATTGTTTTTGTATTTTGGGTCAATTACAATTGCAATTGTAAAGTATGCAAATATGACAGTCACACATGCCATATGTTGTTATTTTCAGGAGACCCCGGGCTACTCAGATATGCCATTGTTTGACATGTAAAAGCTTAAATGAAATTTGATATCTTTATAAATTTGGGTCATTTTTGATAAAAAAAAATATATACCTAGCGCCTTCAAAATTTGGCATTTTTTGCATATAGAGATCTTGAAAACAAGTGCAGCAGTAGTTATCTTTTCAGAAATTGTTAGTCTGGAGTGTCTGTGAGCTGAAAGTGCAAGAATCTTGATGGTGATTCATTCTATTAGTTACTATTAGTGAAAATAAATAATTAGTATAAGGCAGACATGGTTTTTTATTGATTTTCTGTCCTCTTGGATTCATGCTGAGTCCTAAAACTCTGATACACAGCAAGACAGTCTTTATTTTTTAATTATAAATTGAGTTGCATATTTAATATCAGATATTTTAATACTCAAGAACAATATAAACTGAAAGACAGAGCTAAATAGTATTCATTTTATACTCATATTTGTCATATTTATTGTTATTTATCTGTCAAAATGTGTTTTAGGGCCTGTTTGTGTGATTTTGAAGAAAGAGGGAAGTGCACTCATTGTGTTGAATGGGACACTGCAGTTTTATCACCTTTTACCACCACCCCGCCGCCTCACATCAGCAGCGTGCACACATGGCACAACTAATCAAGCTAAGTTTGACTGCATTTGAGTCATTTTATGCGTATTTAGCTGTAAATTTCTGATTATCATCACTAAAGTCAGAGTCTGAGTCAATCAGAGGACTGTTTGAGACACAATGGAAACTTTTATACAGAACACGTTGCTCTGGGGGTTTTAAATGGCCTTTTAAATGGAGGTAAACGTAGGATCTGAACGGTGGTTTTCTGAACTGGATTTCTGACTGGATCATGGCTAAAATCTCCACAGAGTCACTCTGGAAACACAGGGTCCTGTTGGTCAGCATGATGTGTGATTTGCGTCGCTGTTTTTAATAACGTGCCGCGTGAGTGTTCAGATTTTACACAAACACTGTTTTTCTGATGTCGAAATGTTATTAATATAGTGCAGACTGTTTCATTTACCAATGGAATTCTCTTCTGTTTTCATCCTGACCACCTATATTCCACAACAAGCTGTGTCACCAAAAGCACCTGGACTACTTTATGACATGATCAACCCACAAGAAACAAAGCAGGCTGTTCAGGCTAGCCCTATAAAACAGTCACAAAGATGGAAGAAATTCCCTTGGCAGGTAAGATAGGTGACAGTAAATGTCAGCAGAGTAAAATTTGGGTAATAGTCTAGTGTACATTTAAAAAGTAGCTGATTTATATAATAAAAAAAAAATCCCATCTACTTTGACCAACTGTATGAATGTGTGTATGCGTACCTATATTCTGAGTAGCATTGGCTGGCGTGTCCACTTCTTGGATGGTACTAAGTTCATGCGGCTCCAAGTCCTGCAGAAGGATTTGGACTGTGCGAGGTGGGCGAGATATCGGTGGTCTAATTCGTGCACCACTCCCTGACTCACATACACACAGTTCTGAAGATATAACAATCATTATCAGCATGTGACAGGAGTGTGTGTAAGTTTTAGTAAGTGACTGTGTAGCCACTCACTCCCAGTTAACTGGTCATACATCAGCAAGTAAACTAAAAGATTTAGCCATTTGGCATCATATCTGTGGTCTTTGCAAGTACTATGCCAAACCTTGATACAGACACTAAATCTGCTTATTAATGAACAGACTCAGGTGGGGACTGGATTAAGAATTACTGCCATGTATACTGTAAAAAGTTGATAACCACATGCATCATTTTCACATGAAAGAGCAAAAGAATCTTACCATTGGGCTCAAGCAGGGGACCGGGAGTTGTAAAGTATGGACACAGTGTGTTACTTTCCTCAGTGGCTTTCAACAGGGTTTCCATAAGAGTAAGATGACCGGCCTGCATGTCTGACAAGTCAAATGATTTCTAACCCACATGCCAAAAGAAGAAACACTGTTTCAGAAATCTGGCATGGCAACTTACAACTCACACGGTATTCTATGTCTAAACCAATTCTTTTCCATTTCCTTGCTTTTCTACAGTTCTGGTTACCTCTGTGTGCTCTTCTCTAAGTAAAGCCTCCAAGGTACTTCTTTGCTTCATCATTTGCTCTCTAACCAACTGATTTCTTTCCATCTCCGGGACCATGCATAGGTGATTCTGCGTAACCTCTTCTTGCCCAGGCCTTGTAGACATCTTCCCAGAGCTTGGAACCATTGCAGGAGGCCTTCCCACTAGAGGCACTTCGACTTCAGGGAATTGTGGATGGACTGGAGCCAGGTGTGTGGCTAGTGCAGGAGGTTTGTGGCGGGTGCAGCTCAGCAAACGCTCCAGAACAACAGAAGGTAGAGCAATTTCTCCCATGTCAAAAGGACCATCTCTACACCTCCTCTCTGACAAGGAGCTGACTCCTGGCAGTGGAACCAGTGCCATGCTGCTGTCCTGCAGTGTAGGAGATGTAGAGAGTGCAGACACAGGGGGTTGAGTAAAGTTGAGACTCAGACACTGCTCTGGAATAAAGGAGTGTGTATTTAGAACTTCTCTGGGCGTACAGGTATATGTGGTTATGGCAGGGCTAGGAATACTGGACATTATGGCAAGGGCACTGCTGGTAGTTTGTAGAGAGGGCTGGCTGAACAGTACTGGGTCAGCATGGGTCTGAGACTCAGTGGGTGTAATCTCATGGTGACTTTGTAGAATGTCCACTGTTGGAGGGTCAAGAGGGATGGGGCAGTCAGCATCAGTGACCAGTAGGTGTGCGAAGGCAGGTGAGTGTTCTCCATCAGCAAAAGAGGGCACATGACAAGTTTCTTCAGTTAGAGGAGGTTCCTGTGTTTGCGTTGTCTTCATGGTGACAGAGGAACAATATAATTGCAATCTCTTTTGGTATTCCTCCAGTTGCCTTCGGGTATCTTCAACACATTTCTTCTGAAGTCTGGTAACACACACAAATGCATCATTCAATTTGGACAAGATAAAAATTATCATTCAAAATGAATCCTAAAACTGCAATACCTGTGGAGAGAGCGGCTCATGGCGTATACTCACGAACCTGTTCTGTTCCAGGAGCCTCTGCTGATAGTTCCGGAGTCTCTGGGATTGTGAACTACCTGACACAGGAGCAAACACCTTTTCCTGGGGGAAAAAAACAACATGTAAAGTCTCCCTCCTTCATACAGTCACACAAAACACACACCAAGCCACTCAAACAAAAAAGAGCAGGCACAACATAAACCACTAAGTCTACTTAACATAGCCTTAAATTATTGTATTATAAAACTTAAATTTTACATGTAAATAACACTTTTTCACAGATATGCAGATTAATTATTGAATAAAATTAAAACAGGTTACATAGCTCCAGCCAGATACATGTCTGTGTACCATTATCATGCTACAATTTTAGGTGAGCAATTTTAAGGATTACAAATAACTAAATTTAAATATCTTGCAAAATACATTATAACTAGGTAGACTTTTGGCTGCCAGGCCCTTTTAGGGTGCGTTTATACTTGTAGCAGTGTTCCCACTTGCTCTAACGAAGCGCACTAACAAAGCAATCCCACCAGTGTTCATTTTAATCAATGCAAAAATGCCAAGTCTACCGCAGTTCTAGTTTAATGTCAAGCAGTGCAGATTCTAGGGGTGGGAAAACAATTGATTACATGCATTGAAATTCTCTGTCTGTACAGCTTAAGTGTCCCGGTGGTTAGCTGAATTATGAAAATGCCACTGGAACAATGGAAAACACCTTTTGTTAATGTGGATTGCACATGGGCATGGCTTTGGAAATCACTTATAGTCTTAAGTTTCTCTAGCAGGGAGCGCTATTAGCATGCAAGTCACCGCAAATCTGCAGTTGAAGAAGCTCACACATTTGCAGTAACATTTATTATAACAGGTAAAATAGTTCTCAAAAGATGTCGGGTAACTATCATATTTAGTATGTCAGTTTTACAACCCCATTTCCAAAAAAGTTGGGACACTGTGCAGAATGTAAATAAAAATATAATGCAATGATATGCAAATCATGTAAACCATATTTTAAAGGAAAATACTACAAAGACAACATATCAAATGCTGAAAATTTTATTGTTTTTTGAAAAATATATGCCCATTTTTAATTTTATGGCAGCAACACATTCCAAAAAAGTTGGGACGGGGGCATGTTTACCACTGTGTTTCATCACCTCTTCTTTTAACAACACTCTGTAAGCATTTGGGAACTGAGGAGATCAACTGCTGTAGTTTTGAAAATGAAATGTTTTCCCATTCTTGTTTGATATAGGATTTCAGCTGCTCAACAGTTCAGGGTCTCCTTTGTAGTATTTTTCATTTCATAATGCAGCAAATGTTATCAGTGGGTGACCGGTCTCTTTTAATACGGAGCCATGCTGTCGTAATACATCCAGAATGGGGTTTGACATTGTCTTGCTGAAATAAGCAAAGCCTTCTCTGAAAAACAACTTCATGACGTGCAATATAAGAGCCACTGGTCTATAGTCATTGAAAGAGGAGATATATGACTTCTTTGAAACCCCACATAACTTTGCCTTCGCTAAGTGGATGTTTTAAAGTAGTAAACATCTGAAGTAGTTAGATATTTAGTCTCTACTCTTCAATCTACGACGAAATGCATGGGGGCAAAGTCTGTGAAATTCCATGACTTTCAGGTTTTTTATGGCAGTCCAAACTTGGCCAATACACACTTTTTCAGTCAATTGGGCACAAATATCATGTGCATAAGGTAAAAGGCCTGAAACCATTGTAAACATACAATAAACACTGCTTTGTTCAAAGGCATGGTTCAGCAAAAATCCATTTCCATTTAACCTGAATGTAGTCGAACAGCCAAGAAATGTTTGGCATCCAAATTTTGCTTCTTTAGATTGGCACTTGAGTGACAAAGCTAATGCTGCAAACAAACACGAGAATTCAAACCTTAGGTGTATAATTTGGGGTGCGTTTATACTTGTAGTTAGGTTCTCTTGATCTAGATCAGAACAGACAATGATACACTGTCACGTTTTAGTTCTGAGTTGCACAGTTACACTACTAACGTAATTAACACTGAACCAAACGACGTTGACGAAAGTCATGCAAGTAAAAAGTCACAACTCATTGAGAGAAGTTTCGGGCACAGAAAGATAAGTTTAGCATGTCTGTCGGATTAGGGAAATCACAAAATTGTGATTGACACCAGGCCTCTAAGTACAAAAAACCTTTTCATTCTCAAACTACACAATACAGACCTTTGAAGGGCCAGAGTTCACCAGACAAACGCACTCTGCAGGGTTTGCTTGTTGGCTTACAGAAAAGCTCAAAATATTGTTAGTATTGTATTTAGTTTACAGTTAGCTAGGTAGCCAAGCACCTCCACAGGTTTACAGATTATAAATTTGGCAAACAGGAAAAACATTTTCTTCTGGTAATGAATGTGCTATCTGCTGAAACCAATACCAGCAGTCAGATTCATAGAACCGTTTGTACAAACTAACCTTAAAGAACACAGATCAACTTCATGTTTCATTAAAAAGAGAACATAATTAGTCCTGATTAACTGGATTTAGTGCAGTACAGTATGTGAAATGCTGAATAAAAAGAGAGTTTTTGATGGCCGTTTTGACATGGCACTATTAATGCATTGTGTGTGTGTGTGTCAAAATATCACGAGTATCATGATATGATTTTTTTTTCTGTATCGACCACCTCTATGTACCAGTGCTTTGTATGACAAGTGTCTGGCACCTTACCTTTCTCCCCTAGCCACTCACCTGCATTTTTCTTGAGTTCTCTGTGAACCGCTCTTCTAGTCGAGGTATGGACTCATCCATGCTAGATTCCTCACTCAACTTGGTGTCTGAGAAAACAGGAAAACAAAGTAAATAACAAGCCCAATTTCCTATGCACTGATCCAGCCTTGTAACAACAACAACAACAACAACAACAAAAGTGTGGAAAAACAACCGACAAACTAACCAGTCCCGTGTAACACATCAGATTTGTCTTCTTCCGAGCTGGGTGCATGCTCCCACTCCTGGTTGCTCAGAGATCCTGTTTCAATGCTTGTATTCTCAAGCACAGCTTTTCCTCGCCCTACTGGAAATTGTCGACAACTCCACTGCTCCCTCTGCCTTCTGATGCGCTCAAGCAGCTTCCGTAGAGTTGGCTGTCCAGAGTTCGCTGAGGAAAAAGGCACTGTGAAAACTAGCAAACTATATGCAAGGATTACATGGAGAAGATTTCATGCCAGTAATTATAGCAGTGAAAAAATGTAAAACGCAGTACACAAATTACATTAGTTTTCATATATATACAAAAAACACATTGAACTGCAGAAAAGCAAAATCTTCATTTCGTTGTTCTAAAATCATTTGATCTCTGTACTGAAAAATCATGCACAAGTGAGCTGAAATTTATTACAGGAATCTCTAAAGCTTTGCTCACTGGTGTCACATGAACATTGGTAACCTATTGGTAGCTAGCAAAGATTCTTTCTCTGGATAGACAAAGCACTTTTTGTAAGTCGCTCTGGATAAGAGCGTCTGCTAAATGATGTAAATGTAAATGTAAATGTAAATGAACATTTTAAACTTTTAGTCTCTATCCGCCAATCAGCCTGCAACTGTTTTACTTGATTTTAGTTTTAAAGTGATTTTTTGTATGTTTTTTTTATTGTTTCATTTTTATTATTGTTCTTATTTATTTAAATGTTGCCAAGCTATTGTTCTACTTTATTTATGTATTTTATTATTTATATAATATTAAAAATATGAATTCTGTTTTTTTTTTATTTATCTTTATTTTATCTTACTAAGTTACTATACTGTTGTAATTTTAATGGTTTATTGATTTTTTTTTTTTATTTACTACTCTGATTATAATTACTTTTTAGCATTTGTTATGTTTTTACAATTTAACTTCTAAATCCCTGATCTCTGTATTGGCTTGGGCTACACTGTAAGTGAGGGTCTCCCTCAATGTACTCAGAGTGTGAATAAAGGTTGATTGATTGAACTGAACTTATTTGATTGTTTTTGGGTTTAAAGCAGAATACTGTGACAGAATACCAAAATGAATGTAAAACCAATCAGAGAATAGCTACATTGTTACATCAACCCCCCAAACAGCTCTGTGGCCCCAAGTACAATTAGCCAAACGTACCGAAAAAAGCACGGTTTTTAAGTGTTCTGTATCGAACCGTGTCTCTGTGGAAAAGCCACTGGAACCGTTACCCTCCATGTTCAGAACCCTTCGGCCATGCAGTGGAACAGAGGCCAAAGCTGCCTGGGCTGGCCACCAGAGGTACACTACACATCAACTACAAGGCCTCTCACACAGCAAGGGATACCAGGCTTTGCGGACCAGCTACTTGAGTCTACTGCTACAAGGCCTACTGAGAGGGACCTACACCCTCAGCTAGGGACTCTTTCTGGGCCAGCTAAGTGAATCTGCACTGTGGTCTGGGTAGTTCTCTCCTCTGGCATGTGTATGTGTATGTGTGTGTATGTGTGTGTGTGTGTGTGTGTGTGTGTGTGTGTGTGTGTGTGTGTGTGTGTGTGTATGTGAGCACATTAACCAGCACTTTTAATGCAGAAAATTCCCACACGTATTTACAGCAATGTTGAATTATGTTCAGCTAACGTTTGCATGAGTGTGGAACGAGGGATAACTGGCCGGACAGACCGACTTTCGCCCTGGACAACACACTTGGCATGCTCTCTCTCCCTCTATCTACAAGGCTACGAGCCCCCTCTGTTTCTGCAGCATCTCTTGCTTACACAGACAGCTTTCAATGATATAAACTTGAAGGCATGCAAACATGGACCGTAAATCGTAAATCTACATCATCTGAAGTGGAACCCGCTCAGAAAAAAAACATCAGAACCCGAAAGGACTAGAGCAAACAGCAGTGCCAGTGATGTCAACGTTGACAACATTAATCCTCAGGATCCTTAGGCAAATAACAGTAACGTTAACAAGGTGAGCAGCAATCCGAAGACAAGTTTTAGGCTAACTGACTTAGAATTTATCTGTGGCTCAAACTAAACAACGGTGAAATGAGCTGCTTAGTTTTTTAAATGTACGGGGCTGTGCCTTTTACCAGCCAATGTTACAAAATGCCAACTTTAAGTTGCCACTCAGATGTAGTTTATCATAGAGCAGTGTTGGGGGGGAAAAAAAAAAAACGTGAGACAGATTCAGCAAAGAATGTGACGGCTAAAGCTATTGAAATTGTGTAGCTGCAGTGTGAGGAGGAGGAATTTCTTAACACCACCTAATTTATAGCAGAGAAAAATTAGCTAATTCAAAATTTGGGCATCTGGTTAAATTCATGAAAGAGATGGAATATCCTACTTTCAAAAAGCTGACCACAGACACACAAATTATGGAAGCTACCATAATAAGAAAGGTCTATCAGAAATGCACCTAGCTAACGCAAGCACACTTGTTGAGGATGTTGAAAAGGCTGTGCTAAAAAAAAGTCCTGTGTTTTCCCTAGCACTGGGTGAGTCACATGATTATGACAATAACAACACGGATGCCTCAGAGAAGATAACAGGTGAGGAGCCTGGTGATTCAGGGTCCCTATCTTCGGTTTCCTGAAGACTAGCAATAGGGTTGGGCTAACTAACTTGTTTAATAAACAATTTTGCTGTCAAAAAAACAAGCTGCATGAACTGCAGAAACAGTTGGATGAGCCCCAATTGAAGGACTGGACTTCTCCACGGTCCACCAACGGTTGAAGGTACCAAAGAGGCCCTGAGATAAATAATAGTCCACACTGGCCCTGCAGATGAAGAATTCTTTAGCTCTCTTTAACTTCAACTCTAACAAAAACAACCTTTAATGACATGGAAGAGCAGGTATTTAGGATCCTTGATAGATGAGACTGACAGATAATTCCCTGCTAACAATATTCTGTCATGGTTCACTGTTGTGGGACCAAATAACATTGTGGCAAAACAGTGCTCTGAGAATTTCACTCTCTATGGTGCAGGGAAACTTGAAAACCCACTGTCATACTTATTGTATAATGTAAGAGCAGATGAAGCTCGGTCAGAGTTTGCAATGCTAAAGCAAGCCATGCTGTTCAGTGACTCGTATGCTTCATTTTCCTTTCAACAGGTTTAGGAGACTGGGTTGCAAGAACATAGTGGTGTATTCACTGAAATGGAGAAAATTATTAAGATAGCCATGATCATACCAATTGCAAGTGTGTTATGTGAACATAAAACAAGATTAAAACTCAATTCAGAAATGTACTGACTAATACAAGTCTCACTAATCTGATGCTCATTTCAGAGCTTGGCCCTCCCTGAGAGCAGTTTGATTTAAACAGAGCTGGTATCAAGTGGGAAGATATGAAACAGAGGAGACAAAGGACAGGAAAAGAATAGAGACAAGAGAAAAGGGAGTCATCAGAAGAAAGACTAAGGACGCTGATGCAGCTCAAAGAGATGACAGCTAAGAGAGGAGAAGGAGAAAGAGAACAAATTTATCAAGTTTGGAGAATCCCTCAAGTTGGAGGAGAGCAATGAAATGCAATCTCCCTCAAAGTATATAAATCCCCCTCTGTGAAACATTTAAGGGAGTATTCCCCCCATTTTGACACATGAATTACAGGCCCTGAGTTATCATGAAAAAAAACTGAGATATCTATCTATTAATATATAAAACACTTCTCCATCAGGTCTGTGGCATGTTTGTGTGGTGTTTGTTCTTTTCAGGGACATCATGATGCTTTAAGAGTAACTGACCCTTGGAAACGTTGTAATACAAAATACCTTGATATGCCCATCTCCAAGCTATTCTATTAGGTGTGGTGGTGATACCTGTTGTAGAGGAGCTGTGTATTTCCAGCATTGTAGAACATTTGATTTTCTGAAGATTATTTGGCCCTGACTTAGAGTCATCAGGATCTGCATCAGAATGTGGACACTATCTATAGTAACTAAACACAACCAGTGACAGTGTTTGGCTATATTTGTAAACTAATCGAAGTCTACAATACAATAGTTCATAGTTTGTCTAATTCACATTTAAACATGCATAAAGGTATTTCTGCTTTGTCTATGTTAGTGACCCACTTCACTCCTCTGTCTGTCTGTCCTCGCTCATCTGTCTCTCTAATTTAGCTTTTGAGTCTTTGCACCATAGTTAAGCCTTTTTGTATGAGATAGTGTTTATCCAAGCACGCTGACCTGTTGATATAATTTTTGTCCATTTTCTCCATTCCTTTATTACGTTTCTTTTTGGTGTTGCTGTAATTCAGAAAAGCACTTTTCTATTAAGCCCCTTTCTACTCAGTCTACTATCTATAGTTTTTGTGAAGTTTTTACTATGAACGGGCAGAGAAAGAATGCTGGTGGTCTTTTTTGTTGAGCGATTTTTTAAAGTACTTTTTCTGCTTTTTTTTTCAGTTCGATTTAAATTAGGCAGGACATAGCTGAAGTTAATTCTGCCAAAGTACCAAGCAAGGTAAGCAATACATATACATCAGCTACTCGTGTTCCTCTCCCTCACATCAAGTGACTGCTTCCCCACCACTCCGAGCCGAAGCCAAAACTCCCAGCACGTAGGTTATTTAAGCTGTTCTAAATTTGTTAACCCTCTGTGGTCCATGAACTCATCCACGCATCAAATTTGATGTTTCTATGCATGCTTCTCTATCGTTGCAATAATACAGCACAGAAATACAGTCCAAACATTTCCTGAATATGTAAAGTCAGCCCTGTGGATTCTATCTTATTGCAAGATCGTACGTGACTCACATTCAGAGTTAAGAGAATATAAAGAGGGTTTGAAATACACATCATCTGCTTCTCACTGTGTGTACTTGGTGGATTCGTGTGTCCGTATACATTTCGTGTGAAACTGACCAATGGACACTCAGGAAATCACTGACGACTAACCTATCATGTCAGAAACGCTTCATTCTTCAGTCAACATCGGAGACACGTGAAATGGAGTGCAAAGAGTTTACAGCTGCTGAAGTTGCTACAGTGGTTTTGGAAACTAGTAACGGAGATAATGAAGCATTCTGATATGAAACATATTGGTATTATGTTATACACAAGAGCCTTTAAAGGCGAATTTAAGAAGATTTGCCAAAATTATCAAAACGCCCTTATACCCCAGAGTTACAGTGCTTGTTATGAAGATTTATTACACCGTTGTTTGTACTGTGGCTAGATACTGCTTCTTGTGTTAGCCACCTGTTGCTGGATCCAACTGCAAGCTATTACCTTTAATGTATGAGTGCGTGATAGATAGTGGTCATCCCTAAATGTAGGAATAAGAAGCCAATGTTAATGTTAAGCTAATGTTAGCTACTAACATCAAGCCTCATAAAAATCTAGCCATCATCAAAAGAAAGCCTGAGTTCTACAACATTACTTGCAAAATGTGATCTCTACAAAAACCAACAGACAGCTAGTTCTCCATTTTAACACTTTTTACTCACCATTCAGAGACCTGTTTATCCTAGTCATACATACATACATCATCTAAACCGCTTATCCTTCTGGGTCGCGGTGGGGTGCTGGAGCCTATCCCAGCTGTCATTGGGCGGAAGGCAGGATACACCCTGGACAGGTCGCCAGTCCATCGCAGGGCAGACAGACATACACAGTCACACACACACTCACACACTCACACCTATGGGCAATTTAGCATGTCCAATCAGCCTGACTGCATGTTTTTGGACTGTGGGAGGAAACCGGAGTACCCGGAGGAAACCCACGCAGACACGTGGAGAACATGCAAACTCCACACAGAAATGACCCTGGTCGCCCGGCTGGGAATCAAACCCAGGCCATTCTTGCTGTGAGGCGACAGCGCTACCCACTGCGCCACCGTGCCGCCCTTATCCTAGTCAGATTAGGGTAAATTACAATATGTATATAATAAGTAAATAAGCAAATAAATTCAACAAATTTTTAAAGTATCTTAAATAGTGCCCTTCTGCCTCCTGATAAAATAGAATTTCTTTATGAATTCAGTAGGATCTTTGAATGCAGTGTTAAACTCGAAAATGTCATAACTTGGTTTATGATTGTCATTTTGAGAGGTCAAAAAACGTTTGAAATAGTAAAAAGTAAAAAATAACGCTCAGCACATGAAGGGTTGCTGCATGCTGCCACACATATCAGTCACTATAGCTAATGCCTTTATCCCTACCTACACACTGACTGGGAGGGGCAGCAGACTCTTCCTCTGCCTCCTCGCAAAGAATGGCTTCAGGGTCGAGGGTCACATCCAGGTCCTCATCGTTACTTCCAGCAGATAGTACAGGAAGAGGCTCTGGCACAGGCTTAAGTATTAAGTCACCTCTCACCTCTGTAAAAGAACAGACCCACAACCCTTTTAGCCACTCAACACTATGGTGTCTATGGACCACAAACTTAACTCCAGCTCCTCCCATACAGCTAAGCTTGTGCTGTAAAGAAACCAAATCATGATGAGCATTATCACGATGAGAAATAGAATAGCCAACAGCTAATAGTTCTGAAAGTGGAATCTGATGTTGACTACTGGCACAGTGTTGAGAAAGATAAAACCGTGCTATGTCTACAGCATTCTCCTGTTAGCTTGTATTTATCTGTTTCTTGGAAAAAAGCAGTGAAACTGCATTGCAGGTGAGTATAAGAGGAAAGGAGATACTTACCTCTCTCTCCACTGTACAGGTCCTGGAAGGCTAACTCCAGCTCTCTCTGCTTCTCAGTTCTTAGCTCGTCATGTCTGTAGAGTGGCTGGAATATCTGTGCTGGTATGCTGTTCACAACCTGTCTCTGCTGCTGCAAATCAGCCTGCTGCAATCTCTCTAACTCACACAGCAACCTGGCATTGTCCTGCCCCGATAAACACAAACAAACACCATACATGTACACACACACATACACACACAAACACATTACCAACATCTGAGCTAATGATATCTGCTCATTTTAATTGAAGGACATTGGGGAAAGTGTTTAAATACCATTATTGTGGACAGCACCAAGAAATCTGTATGTCAATACTGATGATAATTATAATAATAATAATCTTTATTTAAATAGCAGTTTTCATGCTGATGGCAGCTCATAGTATTCATTTAAAATCACACAATGACACAATCACAAAAATCAAATTAATAAGATAAATACCAAGAGACACAGAGTTTTAACTAAACACTAAGATAAGGAGATACCTTTATAAATCTTTCTTGACTGTCTAATAAAAGGTGAAATTGAGTTCCACAGTTTAGAAGCATAATGAAAGAGGCCTCTCCATGTGTTCTGTATTTTACAGAAGGTATTTGCAGAAGGCCAGTATCTGCATGTCTAAAATGGGCGGTATCCTGAAAGACACAGAGAGCCAGTGCAGTTTTTTCATGACATGAAAAAAAGCCTCCCTTTTTCTGTTTTTGTTAGGATCTGTGCTGCTGCATTTTGTACAAGTCGTACAGGATGTATTGTTTTCTTAAGGAACACAGTAAGAAGAGCATTATGATAAACATCTCTGCTTGTAACACATACATAAACAGCTTTGTCTGTGTCGCTTTAAAACAAAAAATATATTTCTCAAATAATAAAAAGCTACTTTAGTGACTGCAATTACCGAGAGGTAACGTACAAAGAGAAAAGAAAAAGCTCTTGAACTAAACCTTGTGGGACTTCACAAGAAATGTTAATTTTCTTTTGATTAATGATTTTCAGGTTAAATCAAGAACTGCCTACTCACTAAATACAATTTAAACCAGTGTAAAACTGTGCCTGAGACGCCTACCAAGTATTTAGGACTGTGGATTAGAATCTATCAAAATAATTATCAAAAGCAGCACCAAGATCCAATAAGACCAAAATAGACGGACTTTTGTGCATCAGCACTGAGCCTGAGGTCACTGAGAACACAAAACAATGCTGTTTCAGTATTACGGTTAGAGCAAAAACCTGATTGAAACTTCTTATATAACTTGTTTGATAATAGATACACATTTAATTGCTTGAAAACAACTTTTTCTAAGAAACTCTTTTTTAGTAGAGGCTTCACCAAGGCAGTTTTAAAAGTGTCTGGAAAAGCACCTGTTGACAGAGAACAGTTTACACTAGTTACAACATCATTTCGAACACAATCAGAAACCATCTTAAGGAGAGAAGTAGGAACAGGGTCAAGATCATACTAGAAGAACTTAATTTGTTTATAACAGCTGACCTTTGTGGGGGAGCACTATTTCTCACCTGAATAACTTTTTCCTTCTGGAGTGCATGGCCTCCTCTAAGCCGTGCCTTTTCCAGTTGCTCCTGCATGTCATGCGCTTCTTCCCTCTCCAACTCTTTCAGTCGCTGAGCCTCCAGCTTTGCTGCCTGCTGAGCATCTGACTGCAGAAGTGATCAACCATGTTGTTAGTTATATTGGGCCAGTAATATAAAACATTAGTTTTCAGATTATGTACACTGGAATCTGTTTTCTTTTTTATGTGAGCATTACACTTTGTGCTGTGAGGGACTTTCAGTTAGCTTTAGTGGGCGCATTGCTACGGTTATGAGAACAACTGTCCATGCAAGCACAGTTTTGACAAAACAGTGCTGATCAACATCTGGCCTTTACAATTATACTGATACAACAAAGTGTGCATGCACCTGCTCAGTCTCCATTTCTCTGTCCACTGCTGTCTCTGGAACATGACAGTATGTGATGGAAAAACGTTCTACGTTGGCCATACTGGGTGGTGAAGGAGTTTGAGTCCCAATACTCTGACAGAAAGATATGCCACAAAATTACAAATTATAACTTCATTGGAAGCCCTCAAAAGGTGCAAAACAGCCCTCAAAAGGTGCAAAACAGATCTTTTGCTCAAGATTTTACTTTTTAAGAGCTAGGTGAACACAAACATTTAATCTTTTCAAATTAGATTTAGGATTAGAAGGTCCTTGGTCAAATACATATACCATATGTAATGTAATTCATGTTTTGTTTTTTTTTTTTTTTAAACATCATGCTTCATGCACATATGAATATCCCTGTCATTGAGTGTTGTTACCATGAGGATCCCTCTACAGAAACCCTGCAGCTCTCTATGGTTAGTTACAAGATTCTAGAAGAGACAGTACCTCTATAGGGTTAGGGACAGGTTGAGGAAGGCTGGCGATCTTCATTGCCCTCTTCTTCTCTACAATTAGAGCTTTCTTTCGAGCTTCAATGTGCCTGTTTAAGAAATATAACAGCTTACAGTAATGCCCTCATTCAACAAGACTTTGGATATATTTCATCCTCAGGACACAATTCACAGTTAAGGTCAACCAATTATCAGCAGATATAGATCATTTTCTAATAAACAGAATCAGCACTGTGTGCTTCCTTGCTGATAGAAAGGCCATTACGCAGTGAATGCACAGAATAACACAACCATGACAGACAAAACACTTCTGAGTCGTTTGGCTTACTCACAGCCTTAGTGGACTGGTCAAAATAAGTATGATGGCATGATGAGTCATGTACAGTTAACCAGCACATCGGTAGCCTCAATGTCCCAGCGCAGTACTACTGGACTACTCCAAGGCTGAATCACGTGTTGAGTAAAAGCAATCAAACTATCTTCTCTGTTGTCATTTTGTGTTTATGAGAGACACAAGTAACAAGCTGTGTGAGGAAAAAAAAGCTGTGGAGCTGAAGTTGTACAGTGCAGTCGTTTGGAAAAAAGTCGCTCAACAACATACTTTCATTCACTCACTTTCATGCACAAAGCTTGAGATGATGGCTGGAATGTAGACTTTAGAGCTTCAGTTGACTGTACTTGTGCCTTGCATATGGATTGCAATCTGATAAGATTTTATCCAAATTTATTTACACTTTGTCTTTAAGAAAACCTGCTGCCACCCCTACGTCACCCCCCACAGTATTACTTTTTCTCATAGTTTTTTGGGAAACTTGACTTTTATTTCTCTTTCATTTTGCTGTTAAATCCCCATGTTCTCAACAGTCATGCTTGATCACAAACTTTTGTCTTTATCATTTTATATTTTTACCTGTGACCACCTGATTCCTGTTTCTGCGACCATAGTTGCACTCTGCAAGTTTATTTGTAATTAATTTGGATGAATAAAATCATCCCCTTCTCCATTGTTGTTTGTTGGTTGTGTGATTTTATGATTAGTTTGTGAAATTGTAAAATGAAGCTATTTCTTCATTTTTCCACTGACAATGTCATGACCAAAAAGGGGAATCTACTTATTTTTCAATATTGTTTTTTAAACGAAAATCAAATGAGCAGAAGGTACACAGACCAAAGGTAAATGGAAATATTGAATTTGAATTTTCATTTTGAACCTGAACTTGCATGAGCGGAAAATATAAATTCAAATTTGGGATTACATTGCCATTTTGCATATTCTATTATATTATTACATATGACATGCTTCCATACTTGAAGAGCTCAATTAAACAAGGTCAATTAAAAGAAAATAGGTGTAGTTCCATTTCACATTCTCTTTTTACAGATCCAGAAGCAAAATGTGCATTACTCTGCAGAGCTACTGCATGTGTAAGGGGTTTAACTTATTGTTACACTATTTATTTGTTATTAATATATTTGTTTATTGTGACATTATTTATTGTTATCATGATAAATTATGCCACAATACTGCACAATATGCTTTTCTGAACATATCGTTGATATCGTCGGTAATTCTTGAACACTGACCATCTGCATATTTTATTACAAAGACATAATTACTCCTGTTTAATTGGATTTAGTGGAGCACAGAATGTTCAATACTGAATAACAATCATTGTAATCATAGATTTTGATTTTATCTTTTAAATGTGGCACAACTGAGTCTTTTTGTCAGTTCCAAATTATCTGACAGTCAGACATCTAATATATATATATATATATATATATATATATATATATATATATATATATATATATATATATGTACATACACATCGCCCAACCCTACATCTGCTGATTTTTGAATAGTTGAGTGTGCATGAGTGTTTGAGTCTCGTCTGACCGACGACGCTGGTCTTCTTCACTCTGTCTTTGGGAGGCGAGGACTATGAGCGCCTGTCGATGCCTCCCTGCTGCTCGCTCCTTGTTCTCTTCCCTTTTTCGAGCCAAAGCATCCCAATCCGGCTCCTACAAAGACACACAGACGCTGCCCAGTCTGTCTTCTACAGAGGCACGCACTTTGAAGTTTATTATTCCGAGTAATTCACTACCAGTTTGCTCAAATGTTACAACCGATGCAAGCCAACGATCGCTCTCTTTTCACTCACGTTCTGTTTTGCATTACGGTAGCCCTGGCCCACAGCCCGGAGGCTGTCGCCGTTAAATTTCTCCAGGGTTTCTATCTTCTCTTTCTGCTGCTGTTGCCACTCATCCCGCAGCGTTGCAGCGACATTCTGCAGCTCTTTCTCCTTCCTCTCCCGCACTTCACGGCGGATCTGCAGCGCAATGTACCGCTCCTGTTCCCTCACCTAAATTATAGTAAAATAAAATGACACGATCCACAATATACAGTCAACGCCATTTAAACAAACTATTATTTAGGTCAGGTAGCTCGGTAAACTCACTTGCTGTACTCTCAGTTTCCTCCTCCTGTCTAGCTCTTCTCGCACAAACTGTGCTTCTTCGTTCGGGCTCAATCGTACATGGCTCACTTTTGTCGTTTTTCTTTTCATACCTGGAGTTATAATCCTTTTTGCTTAACCCAGCGATCTGACTCACGAGTTGTCTTGGATCGATGATGACCTAACTAGCGTAAAAACAAAATTAGTTAGCGTTAGAACCGATACTAACGTTATCGTGACAATTTATTTAATCGTAGTTTATTTCAAGGCAGGTAGTATTAGTTCAGGCACAATCGTCTAAGTTTGAAGGTTGTGTTTGCTGAAATCCATGTCAACGCGTCTCTCCTTCCGCTTTGAATAGACCGCCTAGTGTTGTTTACGCTAAAGATGGCGGCTAGTGACGCAGATCGGGAAGCGACCGTAGATATAAATAAATACGTCTGCGCGTCCGCCATGTTGGAGCGGTCAATATCTGCTTGTAAACAAAGACACAATGCAATGATGTGCAAATCATTTTCATGTGCAAACCCTATATGTATTTGTATTTATTGTTTATTAAAAAATATATGTCCATGTTGAATTTGATGGCAGCAACACATTCCTAAAAAGTTGGGACAGGGCAACAAAAGACTGGTAAAGTTGTGTAATGCTAAAAAAACACCTGAAGGTTAATTGACAACAGGTCAGTAACATCAATGGGGAGAAAAAGAGCATCCCTGAGAGGCAGAGTTTTTCAGAAGTTAAGATGGGGAGGAGCTGACCACTTTGTGAAGGACTGCACGATTAAATAGTGCAACACTTCAAGAAGAACCTTTCTCAACATCAAATAGCAAAGAACTTGGGGATTTCATCATCTACAGTACATTATATCACTAAACATTTAGACAGTCTGGAGAAATCTTTGCATGCAAGGGACAAAGCTGAAAGCCAGTATTGGCTAGCCAAGATCTTCGGGCCCTCAGGTGGCACTGCATTAAAAACAGACGCGATTCTGCAGTGGAAATCACTGCATCGGCTCAGAAACACTTCTAAAAACCACTATCTGTGAACACAGTTCATCACTGCATCCTTAAATGCAAGTTAAAACTCTAAACCGCAATGAAGAAATCATCAGGACCCAGAAATACTGCCACGTTCTCTGGGCCCGAGAAGGGCTGGAGTGAAGTGGAAAAGTGTCCTGTGGCCTGACAAATTAAAATTAGAAATTTTTTTTGGAAATCATGGACACCGTGAAAGACCAGCAGGCTTGTTATCAGCACACAGTTCAAAAGCCAGCATCTGTGATCAGCGCACATGGCATGGGTGGACATGGCATGGATGACTGGCACATCTGTGAAGGCACTATTAATGCTGAATGATCTAAACAGGTTTTCAGACGACATCTTGTAAAACCACATTCTGCACACACCAGCATGGCTCTGTAGTAAAAAAATTAAGGTGCTAAACTGGCCTGCCTGCAGACCTGTCACCCACTGAAAACATATGGCACTTTATGAAACAAGAAATATGACAAAACAGACCCAAACTGTTGAGCAGCTTAAATCCTATATACCAAGAAAGAATGAACAGACATTTCACTTTCAAAACTACAGCAGTTGGTCTCCTCAGTTCCCAAACACTTACAGAGTGTTGTTAAAAAAAGTGGTGATGCAACACAGTGGTAAACATGCCCTCGTCCCAACTTTTTTTGGAATGTGTTGCTGCCATCAAATTCAAAATTGTCATATATTTTTCAAAAAAACAATAACATTTTTCAGTTGCACATCATTGCATTTTGTGTTCATTTACATTTTGAACAGCATCCCAACTTTTTTGGGCTGTACATTAGAGATATGTATAAATTCAGATCTCTAAAATACAGTAGTAGACATCCAGAATTCTCATTTGATCAGTAAGAATGATATTATTGATATCTAAATGTAGAATTATAACTAGTCAGAATGCAGTTTTGACTAGCAATAACAATTTTTTAACTCTGTATATGTAAGAAACAGATAACTTTAATTACAATATGACTAGTATGAATTACAATAGAGCAAGTAATAATTAAAAATAAAATATCAAAAATTAAAGTAAGACTAGCCATAATGGCTTCATACTCAGCTGTCACTGTGTCTTAAAATGTCTTGACAGTATTTATAAGATGTCTTGAGACATTTTTTTATGCCAAGACATCTCAAGAACGTCTTAAGACGTTTGAGTGAAGACACTGTCTTTGTCTTGAGACATGAAAGTTAACGTCTTAAGACAAAGAAGTAATTATTTTGTGTGTCTTGAAGATGGGGTACGACTTAAGACATCACTTTGTCTTAAGACACAGAGATGTTGTGTCTTAAGACAGTTCAGTTGAGTCCAAAGAGTGGTCCATTACAAAAAGTCCTGTGGTATGAGTGTGGTATTCCTGTGATACTGCCAAACTGAAAATCACAACTGAGGATTGCCAGGATTACCACAGCACTGCCTAATGTAAAAGTATAATGAGAATATAACTATATAAAAGAGAATATAAGTGTGTCCTCAAGAAACAGCCTGCTGTAATCTTATGGTTTTTGTGTGATATTACTAAAAGAACACTCACTAAGGCTTTATTTGCTGTACTTTTGTGATTCTGTATGTTTTGTTTTTTGATTATTGCAGAAATGTGTTTACAGCAGCAAAACAGCAAAAGAAAAAAATAAATTCTTAAACCATTTACCTTACCTTAAAATGTTTAAACTCGTTTCCTTATATCACTGAAGTTCATGGTAGAATAACTTTTAATTTGTAACATTTACCAAAGGAGATAATCACAGTCAGTCACAGCCTTTTGCTCATTTGCAGAAAACATGCTATGATTAAAACAACATTGATCTATTTTCAAATGTACAATTGTAACCAGAGACAACAAGCTAGGAACCAAGATAAAACAACTTTGAGCTAATAGGAAGTAAATGTACTTAACAGCTAACCTGGGTACTTTAGAGATCACATACCACCAAAACTTAATGCAAAAAAGCCCTTGGTTCACTCTCTTCAACATCTACACTTCTGTTTATTTTCTTAAGCAGATCAGGGCTGCCCAAAGTTTGACCATTAGGACTTTTAATTTGGCCCAACAGAAGGAGAGAACTAAGTTTTATATACTGTGTATAACTTTCAAAATTATTATCTCCGAGTATTTGGAAAACACGAACAATAATAAACAAATGTATTGGAGTACTAATATAAAGATCTATATTGTTTCACCACGTAAAATTATATAATAAACAGATTTTTGTTTAAATGTCCAACTTCATACTTTGACTTTAATATATTAAGACATGGCCTCCAGTGATGCTTTGTAAAATAATGCTGTACAGCTGTCTCGTGTATTTCAGAGTTTGCAGTTTTCAATTCTGTGTCTCGATTAAAAAACAAACAAACAAACAAACAAAAACAAAACAGCCCAGTTCATTCAGTACAGAGAGGCGCGAACCGGAAAAAGATCTATGGGAGGACAAACAAAAGACTGGCGGGAGTTTAGACCAATCAGAGCGGGACTCCGCGTCTCGGACGTTCGGTTTTGAAGCGCGAGCGCTCTCCGCCGGTCCTCCGTTTAAAGCCAAACGCGACCGTTACAGCCGTTTGCAGTGAGCGGGTCTATCAGGTCGCTAACGCGGGCAGTTTAATCGAGTTTGTTTAGCGAGTGTTAAACCTCGATAAGACCGTCTCTTACACTCCTCACTGAGACAGCGCCGCCTGCCGGGTGACGCGTTCAGCTTCCAGAAACGAGGATTTTCAGCTGCGTAGTTAGCTAAGCTAACTAGCTGACTGGACCGAGTGGAGCGGCGACTGGAGTTACGACTGCAGCGGTCAGACTTTGCTTTTAAAAGGTGAGTAGTGACAAAATGAGATAAGCAGCCTCACTAACAGTCAGCTGGAGTAAACTTTTCTGTATTTCTGGTCAATCTGCCGAGTGAAGACACCAGCGTTAGGTTAGCGTATGTAGCTAGCGTTAGGTTAGCTAGCGGCTAAGCGGCTTGTCTGTTTACGCCTCGCGGCTGCGTCAGATGTCGCTTAGCACGCGCTCCCAGCAGCGCACTGTAACCATACCGCCCAGCTTCAGCTCTGTACAGCCGTCTCATCCCAGCAGTGCAGCCATGGAGACTCATAAGGTTTGGAGTATAGACAGGTGAGATGCTATGTATGCAGCTGATTCAGTCAGTTGAAGCATTGAGGTAGCTGGGACAAATGAAAGGCTGCCTCAGAATTGAATCTAAGACTGATCACAGTGCAGCAGGGTCAGCACACTGAACACAGTCCGGCAGTCTGTGTAGCTCAGAGAGGGTAGTAATAATTTTAATTTGCTCAGTTACATTTACTCTAGTAACGTCTTGGTGGATTTGTACTTTCTAGAGTATTTTTAAAATATATTACTTGTGCTTTAGAATAATAATCTACGTTTTACTTGGCTACATTTTAGTCAGTAATATGTAATGACCAGTTTGTTTTGTGTTTAAGTTCATTGTTATGCCTTGCTGTTATTGTTTCACTGCATTTACCTCGTGTCTGTTTTGTTTTAGATGTTTCTCATCGGAAATCACCTGAAGCTGAGCAACTGGTGAGACTCAAGTTTTAATTTTTTAAATAAAACTATATGAATGTCAGACAGATGTTTAGATTTGGTGGGTATTCCAAACAAATATAGTTCATGAAGTATTTATTGTAATACAGAAGAGCAGAATGTTTAGGTAAAGCTGGGTTAGAGTACTCAAATATCTGCGCTTTATTCATTCAATTTATTAATATGTTACTTGCCACTACAGCTGTGTTCAAAATATCGATATGGCAATATCACCAACACTGTATCAATATTTATGAATTTACTTCTTCACAGTGCTTTAATGTGTAATACTGCAAGTCTCAGAGCCCTACAAGTTATAGCATAAAGCATGTGGTAAACATGATCTAATAGAGTTTAGCTCTTATTGATAATCATTTCATGTAATAATTCCCTGTGAGAGAGATTAGAGGCATTGAGCTCTTCAAACGTCTGGTTCTTGTCACTGCCACTATGAACAACTCTGACTCTGTAAGTTTTTCCACAATGGAACATTTTGTGTCAAACTACTTTTTGCATCTTAATGATGAAATTGTGCCTAAAAAGTGTGTAATTCTCCTTTAACACAGCTTTTAACAGATACAGATATCAGTAGTAAGCTCACACCTGCCTCAACAGCAAATGATCATTTCTGTCACGTGTTGACTTTGGCATGTTAGAGGATGAAAACAATAGAATAGTGAATTATCTAATCAACTTTGTTGTTTTCAATCCTTCCAAAGGAACATCCTCTCTTTGGGCCTAATCCATTATGGTGGCAGTCAGTATCATTCTCAACACTCAGCTGTGCTCTTACCCAAGTGGCCTCATCTTGATGCTTCTTTCATTACACTGAACATCATTGTCTGAACATCAGCTATGCGTGTGAGCTGGGTGCCACGCTGGAGTTCATGCATAGGTATTATTTAAAGGCTTGTCACATTTCTTTGTGTACTAAATGCCAGAGTTGATTTTAGATGAGTAGAATTAGGTATACTGTACATTATATTCTACTTCTAAAGGGAATATATAATGCTTTCCCTTTTATTTACTGTGTTATGTAGCTTTTTGTGCGTGTAAGATACAAAGCTGAAAGTATATGCCAGAGGAAGAAAGTCTCTCCCACAGAAACCACTTTTCTCAGCTGCCTGAGGGCTGGAGTTCCCCAGCCCTTTTCCTTTGTTACAAGATGATGTAATCCCATAACACAATCCTTATTGCCCACCTACCAGCGAGCTTGGCATGCCCTCACACAACGCAACGCATCTACCGGAGGCCGTGTATTGGCGGAACCGCTCTGGTGCTTGATCAATCAGAACCAAGTGAGCGAGCTAACTAATCTGAGCGTACTGGGCTCATCAGGAAGGAGGGACACAGGAGCTCTAACAGGAGCATTTCAGACAGAAGGTGAGTAAACAATTACAGTATGAGAAAAATAATGTGTTTCTGGAACACTGAAGCACGTAAATGTATTATAGTAGACCCCAAAAATAAATTTATGAACATTGGAAATTAGCATAATAGGTCCCCTTTAAATTCATCCTGCTTGTATATGCAGATCTAAAAGTAATTTCAAATTTATTGTCTTAAAATTGATTTTTTAACAGATGCATTTTCCTCATATCTCTGACAAAGAAGACCAACACTTTGAAAAAACAGAGGAAGAAGCGATGGGCTGTGAATCTGACAGTTCTTTCACTCATCACGGATTTAACTCTAAAAGGAGAGATCGGTAACATTAGCAGTGTGATATCAGTAATGTTAGTGTTCAGGCATTATGGCATGGACATATGCACATCGAGTTATCTGTGTCCTGTTTCCTGTGTCCACGTATGTCCACATAAAATGTCCACAGCTTGGCTCTATTCCAGCTCTTAGCACATCTGAGTCTGGTATTAATTGTTTGACAGCTGATCATTATCTGGCTCAGGTATGTTATGAGTGCTGCTGGGGTTCAGACCTTTGTATTACTCTGTTGGTCAGTTTTTAGTCCATATGAATTAATCTTAAAATTGTTTCCCATCATTTATAATTGTTCATAGTACTATATTGCTAGTAACTTTAGCATAACTTGCAAACGGAGTAACAGCAGACCTTAAAATCAGATTCATTGGTTTGTGGAACTGTGTATTATTGCAGTATATTTCAAATTTTTACACAAAGTCAGTTAACATGTTTTTCTCCATCTGTAGAACATATCAAGTGTGATGACGCTATTGTATTATATTTTTTGAAAGCTATGTGGGTGCTTTTTCATGGGCTATGCTTTGGATTGCAGAGTAAATTGTTTGAATATGGAAGTATTTTGAATTTTTAACAGATTAACAAGGAAATACAAAACTGTAAAATAGTGATTTTCCATACCCCTTTAAATTACATTACTGTAATTTATGCATACTTATTATTGTTCTTTGTTCTCCTTCTTATTATTATTATTTTAAAAGTTGATAAAATGATACCTTCATTAAAAAATGAAGCAACTATAAAATAGTCATTGTAAAAAAAAATATTTTTAACACATTTTTACCACGTTTTAAAACATGAAGGGTTAATTACTATAAAAAGGTATTTAAAAGAACTGAATTAGATTTTTAAATTTTGCAGCAACGCTGTATTACAAAATAGTTGCATAAGAGTCTTCCCTCATACTACCAACATGTTGAAGGCATGGTCTGAACTCACAAATACATTTTCACTGATTCCATAAGCTTTTCAAATGCAACAGAAACATTTAAAGGCAAATTCCACGTTTTTGTACACTTGATTCTGTCCTTGCGATGTAAACAAAGTCATTTAGTGGTTTCATATAAAATGGCTTATTGTAGAGAAAGCTACAGACTGGGAACCATGTGCCTATTATCCATCCATCATCTAAACCGCTTATCCTTCTGGGTCGCGGTGGGGTGCTGGAGCCTATCCCAGCTGTCATTGGGCAGAAGGCAGGATACACCCTGGACAGGTCGCCAGTCCATCGCAGGGCAGACAGACATACACATTCACACACTCACTCACACCTAGGGGCAATTCAGCATGTCCAATCAGCCTAACTGCATGTCTTTGGACTGTGGGAGGAAACCGGAGTACCCGGAGGAAACCCACGCAGACACGGGGAGAACAGGCAAACTCCACACAGAAATGACCCTGGTCACCCAGCCGGGAATCGAACCCAGGCCATTCTTGCTGTGAGGCGACAGCGCTACCCACTGCGCCACCGTGCCGCCCCGTGCCTATTATTATCATTATTATTATTATTATTATTATTACTTTTGTTGTTAAATTTGTTCTGAAATGTATAAATGTAGTATGTACTAATATATGTAATGTTTGTATGTTTATAGAATAATATACAATATATATATTAAAATAAATGATACCATTATGCATCCTACATAGAACAAAAATAAATAAATAATGAAAAAATTACTAGAATTTTTGCTATAAATAATGTTACGTTTTAAAAATCTCTTAAAAATATTTAAAAGTAAAAGATTATTTTAAAAAATGTAGGTAAAATTTTAAAATACGTATTATGCATCTTGCATCTTGAGACGTCTTGGGATGTTATTATTGCCAAGACATCTTAAGATCCGTGTCTATCGACATGTCTAAAAGACATGTCTTTATGTCTTAAGACATGCCTCAAGATGTCCTAAGACGTCTTCATAATGTGTCTTTAGACATGTCTTAAGACGTCCCAAGACATGGTAATGGCTGGGTATGTTTACTGATGTCTTCAATAAAGATATTGAGATTTAAAATGAGAGATCTACAATTCTAATTCTTATTATTTAAAATTATGTTTCAGATCTCTCCAATGGTTTAATGAAAACATAAACAACTATGAGATTTGCATTTAATGCATGTTTATGAGAGTGTTAGGCGGGAAAAGGGTGGTGGGTGTACAGCAAGTCAGTGCAGGGCACAAGATGGAAGGCAGTCGAGAAGGAGAGGAATAAAGGGTAGAGGAAGAATCTGACCCATTCAACAGAGTATTAAAAGTGGTCACTTTAGTGAGTGTCTGACTGGAGTCCTCCAGGAACACGGACAATATTTCAGCAACCAGAAGATCAGTTAAATTATTGACAGTTATCAACAGTTTAACTAGCTAACAGGTATGCCAAGTTGCTTTACTGGCCTTGACATTTTTATGGTGGGTTGAACCCTAAAGTTTGAAATAAAGCAGTTTAATTTGTGACTACAGTATCTAGGTTTTATTTTAGATCTAGTTGTACTGCACCATATAGTTTTAAAAGATGGGTTAACATGTGATCTGACCTCTTATTAAATGTGCCTGATGGATGCGCCAGTGAATATAAACAGCAAGTTAATTTTGAGATAAGCTAAGCTAAAAAAAAAAAGGTAAAAACGCGTTAGCATGTATACAATTTGGCAAGTCATGAAAAATGCATTATGACATCAATTAAACAATAAATGTGAAAGCCGAAGTATCTCAAACCTCTTGCCAAATGCAGGTAAATGTTGGCAAGAGATTTGCCTCATGCACCAGACGTGTGCATTGCGCGGTTATTGAGTGCAAAGATTGACTGCTGCATGTGTGGTAACAGGGCTGTAATGCTACGCAGTGAGCGTCCATTGTTATAATTTCTTTCTGCAAACTTAATGGTAGTAACTTCCCATACACCATAAGTTACTTTTATTTTAATATATGAACTGTATATAAAGGAATCTGCACTTAGCATGTGGCTTTTTCAAATTAGCATATGTTGAACATGATTTCTGACTAGTAAGAAGTCAGTTTTAGAAATCTAAAATTGAATTTATGGCTAGTCAGAACACCAATTTGATTATTTATAATTATCTATCAATGATGGAGATAATAATGGAGATCTGTAATATTTATTGTTACTAGTAAAAAGATATATGTTGATATCTGTAATTCCATTAAAAGATCTGTAATTAAATTTTGACTAGTCAAAATAGCATTTTTACTAATGGAAACATACATTTCACTAGAGAACTTGTTTCGCAGAGAACTCGTTGGTGTGATTGTTTTTCTCTGATTTTATTAAGCTTATTTCATTTAATAGCCTATACAGGGGATCTTAACTTGATGTAGTAGTTATATTCATTTAATTACAATGATTGTTAATGGAGTAAGTGTTTCTAGCAAACACAGTTGTGTTGTGACAAAATTGTGACAACCTGTGCAACACTATTGTACTGTGAAGACTTTGACATTTGACAGTCATGACATTGTAATCACAAAGCTATGTCTACTTTCTCTAGTCATTAAGTACAATTCATAGACAGTCCAACTGCAATTCCATAACACTTTCATGACAAACATGAATGTCTGTGGACTTAAAGGGCCCATATCATGGAAAAATGAATTTTGTTTGATTGTTTTAAATTATCAAAACATACCATTCACTCCTCAGTACATGTAAACCATATAAGGAAAATAAGCAGAAAACTGTTATCAATTATTTAGTTACATAGAAATGATTTACGTAATGTAAAACAGTAAAACAAATTTCCTTAGCAAGTTGTCACATATATAGGCATTGTCACTCTGACACTCATTTCAAACCTAATAAGTGTCAACTTTATGACACCAAATGTATGTCAACTGAAATCAGTCTTTAGAAAGGTTTATAAAGAGTTCTGTAAGCTGAAAGGAGGGGCAATATACATGTGTATGCAAATGTTGAGCACTCCTTATCAAAATATATTGCTTTTCTGAGTACACATCCACTACTGCAGGGGTGGGTAACTCCAGGCTTGGAGGGCCGGATTCCTGCACGGTTTGGTGATCAAGCATGCCTGATTCAACTCACCTAATTACAAGTTTTAGGTGATGCGAAGCAGGGAGCAGGGAAATCACCAAACTGTGCTGGACTCAGGTCTACAGTTCCCCACCCTGCTCTCCAGAGAACACATTTCTGCATATTTTTAATTCACAGTTTTTTTTCTGAATTTAATGTATAAGGAAAAAATCAATGTGGCCTCTGTAAAATACATTTTATATTTTAAGTTTATTTTTTTCTTGCATGTTAAAATGAATAGAAATTGTGAGCTAAAATTTACAGAAACATGCCATCTTTAAGTTTCTTCCCCATAGAGAGTGTGTTCAATTATATTGATTTAGAAAATCATCAAAACGTCATTTGACCCTATGACTATAGGTGTCACAGTTAGTATTGTTAATCCCACCCTTACCTAAAGTATGAAATGTATTGTATTAAACATAAAATAACAAATGTTCTGAAATGTTGTGCCATTTTGCATATTTTCAGCTTGTTGAAAAAAAAAAACACAAAATAGTCACATTTGAATGAAAATAGCTCAGTGAATCCAGGCCTTAAAGCAAGGAACGCAAAAGCAAACAAAAAAGCACAGGTTAATTACAATAAATAACCAAAGATACACAGTAAAAGGAAATGATGAGAGTATGTATTGGTCATAGCGTTTGGTTTTTAAACAAAAAAACTCAGCTGTAAGAATAATCACAGAATTTATACTGTAGTAGTGTATCATTTTAATGTTAATTACAAAACATTAAATTTGCAGTTCATTTTAATTAGTGATTCTCAAGAAAATTGACATTAGTTTTGGCTACACAATTAGCTAACAAGCACACAGGTGCTAGTATCATGTGTAAATAAGAAATTTAAAGACCTATTTTTGAGTATTTAATTATACATTCATGAAAGGTAGGTTGATGGTAGGACTGTTACATTTTAACATACAAAGCTTAGTTTTCTTTAATGCATAAAGTCAATCCAAAAGAAATCAACTAGTTTATGACAGTTTATGATATGCTCAGAAATGATCAGTTAACATATTTTTATTCTGTAATGCATGGTGGATAGTATTGTTAGCCTAAAAAGTCAGACATCCAGTCATTATTGTTATTTACACTGTTCTGTGCCTGTGTTGTGGAGGAGCATGAGGAAAAAGTGTCACTCTGGATAAGACTGCTCTCTTTTATCTCATAAACACCAGTTTGACTCTCTTCTCCAAGAAACTCATCAAATAAGCCTGAGTTGGGTTTTGTTGATTCCAATGTCAATGTATCTGAGACTGCTCCATCATCATTATTTGCAAATATATCATTTTGGAAGGGGTCAGAAAAAGGATCAAAACTGTTTTTCTCCATTCCAGTGGAGTGTGACGCATTATCAGAGCTAAACGGGTCAAGAACTTCAGTCTGGTCTAATTCATCTTTTACAGCTGCAGGTTTGTTTTTGTCAAACACGTGTGTCACATTCCACTGTGTTAACGGCTTATGTTCAGAGCTAAATATGTCAAAAAGATCTTGCACTGACTGATTCTGTTCTGGAATGTTTTTGTCAAACACATCAGAAGTGTTCAGCTGTGTTGATGGCTCATTTTCTAGGCTAAACAAGTCAAAAATGTCATTTTGAGAAGGATGACCATGCACATTTCCTTCAGGATCTTGAT